TAATGCCCACCTTGAAGGGTGTAGGGATAAAGGGAATGGTCAGGATAACACTTATATAAAATATTTAAAGTGTCCAATAATGATAATGAACATATTACAATGTTACACAACATAAGTAGATGCTAATTAAATGTCAATTGTTGTTAGTATAGTATGTATTTTTCATTTAATGCTGCAACAAGTACACACGTACCAAAAAGTGCCACGCCCACTTTTCCCTAAAAGCAGCTATGTGTGACTATATTTGATAAATATTATTGATTTATAGGATCATTATGAACACTTTTCAGTGTTTTAATGTTAAAATAAACATATTGATACAATTTTTGACAAAGTAGCAGCCATAAAATCCAAACAGATTTGCAAATATTTCACTTTGAGATCAAAAGGACACATTTGGGAGGGGGTCAAATTGAGAATATTTCAAGATATAAATACTGTTTCTATGGTAACCATATCAGTTAGAGATTGGAAATTTCTGGCACTTACTAACCATAACATGCCCTGCCCAATATAAAACAATGAATATCTGACATGCATTAGTATTCTTTTTATTGGGTGGTATTAAAGTACCCCCATGGTTTTTTGGGGGTAGGGGTATAAATAGGTCTGAGGGCCGTCTGCCAACCCTATAGAAAGTCCAACTACCCAGAAAGTGTCCAGTATCATCATACAGATGGTTTGAAATAGGTTGGAATGTGTAACCTTTCATGTAAGGAAGGAGTTACAATTATCAGAGTGGGCCGTAGTCTATAAGTAATGTTATGTGAACAACCATTTCCAAGTGAACTTATCCGTGGCAATAAATACATTTGTTTATATTACTATGGAATATTGAACAAATATTTCACTCTATTGAGGTGAATACCTGTACATCTTTCACAAGTGATATTCCACGAAGCCCGAAGGGCAAGTGGAATATTACCTTGTGAAAGTGTCATAACTTTTTCATATTTTACCGGAATACCCCGACAACGGTGAAGTCAGATACCGTTGTCACAAATGGCGGCAACAGGTTCGTAGTCGATTCGATTTTCATTAACTGCATATTTAAGAGAACATTTAGATTAAATTCCATTGGTACAACAATCAATCAAAGTGTCTTTCTCTTCATCGTATACTAAAGGTTAAATCGTACAGGGTGGTACAAAAAACCATTCACACTTTTGACAACGTAGCATTTTCTGACGATACCAATTTTTCCCCAAAGACCAGTCCAATAGACATGTAAGTTTTGTGTCGTGTAAATTCTATTTTTGATTTACCACGTACGTACTGAGAGCACAGATTCAATAGTCTGTGATGTGCCCAATCAAATCTCTTTGGTGCTAAATCGCTGTAATTAATTGCACATTTAAGTTTGGAACGACCTTCAACAAATATAAAATGCATTTATTGTTTCGGGTACAGCTTTCCGAGGATCAACATGAAAAATGTGATGTAGAGAAGTTGACTGGTGAAAGTTCGCTCATAATGGTGATACTAGAGGGCGTACTGGCTCGAAAATGCTAATTGACGCTCATTTCAATGAACATTGACTGATGCATTGAAGTTATGAGAAGAAAAGTCATCCTGGCATTGACGCGGAAGCAATGGGTGGACAAGGTTACTGTTATCTATCAGAGAGATGAAGCAACTTCAAATTGCTGCGATGCTTTACTTGAATACATCCAACATTACTTTCCTGAAGACAGGCTCATATGGATTACACATGATCTGCATATTCCCAAGACATGTCCCCTTTAAAGTTTTTTTGGTGTGATACTTTAAGGACGAGATGCCATTGTGACAACATGGACAGCATGGACATTGCAATTGTGTACAAAGAGATTAGATGGAGCACATTGCAAACTAATGATCTGTGCACACTGGTGGTAAATGATAATAAAACTTACACAACACAAAAATTTACATGTCTTTAGGACGGGTCCATGAAAACAAATTGGAAAATCTTCCTATCCTTAGAAAACGCTCGCAATCAGAAGTGTGAATCGTTTTTGGACCACCCTCTATGTTCTATCATTGAAATACAAAATTTAATTTTACCCATCAAAATATGACACAGAACAACGGATGCTGTATAAATGATAATGGTAAATATAGGTCAAACGTGTTGTAAAATGGGGGGGGGGGGTGGGGGGTGGGGGGTAGGGGTCAAGGTTCTTGGAGCAAGACTAGAACTAGATTGCATGAAAATTATTGAGTCTATCTATATCTATAAATACATATATACCCAATTTCTTTTAAATAGTTCTGTTATAATGGACTTTCAGGAAGACTCTCACACTATAGGGGAAACACTCTGAAATATAGGTAAATCCAAATGATTGATGTTTATATGTAAAACATTGACTAATGAATATAACACAAGTGCGCCATATCGTGACCTTCTAATTGAACATTGACCTAGACGACAGCATATATTGTAAGTTGTATGATAAAATATTACTTCAATTTTAATATTGCGAATTTTATACATTTGGATAGCAATATGCCATTGATCCCATGGCCCAGGATACGAGTTCTATGTATACCAGTTTATTAGATATATGAGCAGGTCATGCTGATTCTTTTAGTGAAACTCCAAGACCAATGGTACAGCCATAGAAAGCTTCAGAAGAACCGTCTAGGGTTTGCTGAAAAATACAAGTCATTAATCTTAAAGTTTCCAGTTTAGCCACTCGATATGCTAAGGAATGCTGTAATTGTTTAAGATAGGCACCAAACAAACACTTTATGTCGATCCCGCTATGCCATTAATGTTTGAGAGATAGGGATAAAAACCATCCATAGTTTTAAACTTTTTAAACGTTTTTAACGTATTCCTGGGCCTCATCAGATGTTGACTATTTGATACGTTTATGGACTTCGAGACTGAATTTTGTCTGTCTGCGATGCTTTACTTGACTGAATACTATATCTAGTATGTACAACAATTTTTGATGTTATGAGCATCAGTGGCGGATCCAGAAGCTAATTAGGAGTGGGGGGTGGGGGGGGGGGATTTTGAGTCAGTAAAAACTTTTAGAAATGTAAGGCCCTTTTTTGTAATTTGGCCTAAAATTGCCTGGGAACGCTAAATCAAGCCGAAACGGCCCATTTTTGAGGCCCTACAAAATTTCTGGACCCAAATATTTTTGAGGCCCTACATTTTTTTCTGGGCCCACACAATGGAGGGGAGAATGTCTCCTCCCTGGATCCGCCACTGAGCATTGGTTTACCAAATTCTTTAACATGGCGGTGGGGAAGGGAGTATTAGACATTGTTGCTCTTCACGTTGAATTATGGTTTGGGCTAATTGGGGCTTGTTTTCCTTATAACTAGTGTCCTCTCAGATGTTTTGTTTTCTTTCTGGGTTCTGTAACAATTTTTGGTCCATTCACTTTGCCACTTTTGCCTACATATTTGGACATAAATAGTTAAAAATGAGCTAAACCATCACAGGCATTCATATAACCAGGTATTTTGCAGGTGGGGCAACTGCCAGAAATACATTTTTTTCAAACCTTACCAAATGCTTAAAGCTAGACAGCTGAATACTCAAAAGGAACAAAAGTTCAATCTAAATATGAGAGTGTGTGATTCAAATCTAACCGATACACGACATATACAGAATATAGAGCACTACAAGTAATCCCTTCGTGAATTTGAGAAGAAATGCTACTAAACAATTATTTTACTGACACTGGCCTAACATTGACCTCTAAATTAACTTTTTTAAACCAACTTGACATACATATTTTGTACAGTAGAACCTGCTAAGTGGAACACCTCCGTAAGTGGATTACCTTGCAAGTGGAACGCTTTTTCAAACTCCCATTTTAAAAACCCATTGACTTAATGTTAATTGAACCTCTGTAAGTGGAACACCTCCAAACTTGAACAGTGAACACCCCATGTTGAAAAATTAACCTGCTAAGTGGAACAGCCAATTTCCATAAATTTCAATATTGATACTTATGTAAACAGAATTAACCTCCTACAGTGATATCTGGGTATGAAAACAGGTAATAACGTGATAATTGGCAAATTAGCTTTTTTAATGGATTACCATTCAGCAAATTGGATTAACCTCCTGTAAAGGTCAACACATGATGCAACCACTAATTAATTTGATAATCAGCAAATTAGGATTTCATAAGATTATCATTCAGAAAATTGGATTAACCTCCTGTACAGATGGACATGTGATGCTACCACTAATTTATACCCCTTACTGTTTGTTTCAAACTTGATAAGTAAGATTAAGAATGTCAGTTAAAAAACAATTGAATTATTAGCAGTAGGAACAAGTCTTTAAAACTTAATTGTCAAACCTTCGTACCTGAGACTGGCAGAATGAGGAGGATTAAGAATGTCAGAACATTTTTGGCAGAATGAGGAGGATTAAGAATGTCAGATAACTTTTTAAGTAAACCAAATGGATTATTAATGGTATATACCCAGGGGCGAATCTGGGAACCAACAAGGTGGAGAGGAGGGCAGATTTCAAGTCTTATAAAAAATATTCCGCACTTGCGCGGAAAAAGTGGGCCTAAAGTTTGAAAATTAAAGGCCCATTTTCTTCAAGATTTGGCCTTATAAAATAAGCCCTCGAAATGTCCAGTAATGCCAAAAAGGCCCACTTATTGGGGCCTTGGGGCCAATTTTTTCTGGGCCCACCCAAGGGGGGGGGGGTAGAAATCTGCCCCCCAGACCGCCAGTGTATACCTACCCTGCAATGAAGGGGGAATCATATTTCCAGTGATACAATATATGAATCCTATATTTGATCTTGTATGTTCTTTAAATTCCCGCGAACCCAAAACCTCCGTAAGTGGAACACCTCCGAAGTGGAACGATTTTTGGCAGAACGGAGGGTGTTCCACTTACACAGGTTCTACTGTTTTATGTATTCTATCGTGTTATATACATAAGTGGATAAAGCTCTAGTACACGGCTTTATCAGACCTCAACACAAACAGCAAAAGTTGTCGGAATAGAAGGAATCTATAAACATCATGCTATTCGAAATTGTTGCATTTTGTGCGTCTATTTTACTCGTTATATACGCCTTCAATAAATACAGCCGTAAGAAATGTACAGCTCCTGGACCACCACACGGGCTACCAATTCTTGGAAACCTTCTCCAGGTGTTTGACAAACAGGTGTTCCTAAAACTGTGCGATTGGCAAAAGGAGTTCGGAGATGTCTACAAATTGAATCTGTTTACTGAAGAAGTTGTTGTGGTGAATGGAGATGCCATTTATGATGTCTTAGTTACGAGCGGGGATGATTACGGTGGGCGAGTCCAGGCAGCACGCAATAAAATCTACTCCAACGGCTTCAGAAGTATTGGCTTTAGGTAAGAAGCACACTAGCCTTTGAATAAATAGATATTTTCCTTTATTGTCCCGAGACAAATATACTAGTAATATAAAGAAGTTATTTGATGAAGAGAATATCATATCACAAGATTGATATCAATATTTCCCGAGGGAACGCTGATATTGATATTGCTCTGACCATCGTATAAATATATTTATCCCATATTTGGACGTGTTACAGCATTCTGATACTCATAGCATCTTTCTGTTTCACCTGAAAGGGCTGAGAAGAAATGAGATGTCATGGTATATCATGATGGTGTTACAGGTACATAAAGGAGGTTTGTAAAAACTAGATTTTCATCAGCGGGCAGATATAGCTTTACGTCCCGCTCCGAGTGGGCAGATATAGTATATCTGCCCGCTACGTCATAATCTCCGTTCGGTTAATTTCTTTAACCTTCACATTATTACTATAAACGACAATTGGGGGAAAATCCAGACAATCACGATCTGTTTGATGGTTGAAGGAAGGGAAGGAGCATACGTATTCCTGTTAATAATCAAATATCCGAGAAAATAAATGTGGGTGTAAAAGAACAGGAAAATCCGACCACAGCCAAGAAAATAAAACTGGGCATGAATATTCTGAAATATTTTCACGGTTGAAATCCGTGGCCAAATCCGGGGGCCAATTGAACAATTCGAGCCTGATGACCAAGAATGGTATGGGATACACAGATCATCCTATAGTCGGTTCGGCATATTGGGATTATCCCTTGGCCAACATAATATATCTTCCCTCGGGACCTACGGCCCTCGGGCAGATATATTGTATTGGCCTCGGGATAATCCTAATATCCTGAATCTCATATTGGATGATCTATATATATAGAGTATCTGCGAGGTCACCTGTTGGGAAACATTTGATTACTCATTCTTTTTGCTAGACATCCTGATAAAGAATGGAAGACCATGCGGAGGATTGCTCAGAAAGGTTTGAAGCAGTACGGAGAAGGCGTGGCCAACATTGAGCGTATCAGTATGGAAGAGATTCGTGAATGCCTTGATAAGTTTGACAAAACAGAGCCTTTTGATCCGTATGACGCCATTAACGATATGGTCATTGGAATCATCATAATAGTTGTGAGTGTTATGAAGTTAAATGTAATCCTATTTTCTTTACTTCATTGCTATATTTACTGTTATTGAAAATTGTTTATCGGATGTACGTTTGGCCCTGAAAGGGCATCAGTACTAATAAATCCTATTATATATTAACCTTATATATAAGTCAAATATTTTGGAAGAAATTCAAAATGTCTGTTGCAATATCCATTGACACTTACATGTACATTATCCTGGGTGTGTCACTGGAGAAACATTATTGTTTTAATGAAATGTAGCATCCGTTGTCAGAAAATACTCATGGTCAAAATTATATATATAAGGGTTATGTACTGGGAGGTTTTGGATACAGGGTTTATCCCAAGGGAAATATGTGTATCTCACGAGGGACCGCAGGGACCGAGGGAGATACACATATTTCCCGCGGGATAAACACTGTATCCAAAACCGACCGTACATGTAACTGGTGTATCTCATACTTGAGTGGGTTTGGGGTAGATATAACCTTTACCACCTTTTTCAAATGACAAGATAGGCCTATACTGTAAAAGCACAATTTATATTTAACATTTTCATAATATTCCTTCAGCTCAATACAATAGAATTGTAACATTTAAACTTTTTGAAAATTTTTAAACTTCTTAAATTTAAATTTTTAAAATGTTTAAACTTTTGAAAAAATTCCCGGGAGCGGGATGGATATATTATATCTGCCCGCATTTGGCCTAGAGCGGGACATATACAATATATCCTGCCCGCTCCTCAGATATGATATATATTCCCGGGTGATATCTACCCCAAACCCACTCAAGTATGAAATACATCTTAGTATACTAATATATAGTAGCCCGGACAGAATTGTTCAATGGTCACTTTTTCTTTAATAACTTTTTTAATTTTCAGTATTATCATAATCTGATCACATATTTGAAAACTAGAGTAAAATTCTGACATACAAAAAAAATATTTAAGGAACATCTCTTAATTTATTGATATTATAGGTGTTCATAGTATGACTGACGCAAATACAAAATTCATCATTTTGCCTCATATTTGTTCAAAATGGCGGCATATTTTGTGAATTTGAATGTTCAGTTGAAAGCTAATATTTAAAGATTGTCATAGGACTATAGGGCCATGCTGCCACCGTTGCAATCCTGATGTAACGCAGCAACTGACCAGTCATCAAATACAAGAAGTCAAATCCCTCCAAGGGTATATGAAATCAACTCTATTGAAATGTTCGGGGTTGTGTTCAAGAGGATGGGAAAAGGTGGCGCCCCAGTGTACGGGATGTGATGAGAGTAGGTTCTTAATATTTTCAAGAGCTCCAAACAGCCATCTCAGAGGCCATTGAAAAGCTGAAGAACAATCACATGCATGCCAAGGCCCAAGGATGGGTTGAGAGGCGTGTGACTGGGAAAGATTACAAACTGTGGCAGTATGACTCTATAGGTGCACAGGTTCAACAAACTAGGGTTGCTTATCCACTACGAGTAACAATGGAATGGCCAAAAAACTTTAAATGCTGCGACCTTACCAATATACTGTACATACAATGTACAAACCTTTTTTAGTGCTGGTATACATACAAATCAATTTGAAACAAAAGGTTATAAATGCAGTCCTTACCTCATAACAAGGCAGCACTCTACATGATTTCGTAGGCCTATGACATTTCTTGAATATTAACTTTAATTTCAACTGAACATTCAAACAACAAAACATGACGCCGTTTTTGAACAAATATGAGACAAAATGGTGAATTATGTATTTGCGTCACTCATACTATGAACACCTATAATACCAATAAATTAAGAGATGTTCCTTAAATATTTTTTTGTATGTCAGAATTTTACTCTAGTTTTCAAATATGTAATCAGATTTTGATAATACTGAACATTAAAAAAATTATTAAAGAAAAAGTGACCATTGAACAATTCTGTCCGGGCTACTATAATATTGTGCTTTTACAGTATAGGCATATCTTGTCATTTGAAAAAGGTGGTAAAGGTTATATCTACCCCAAACCCACTCAAGTATGACGGATTTGGTTCAAACTTTATATACTGATTTCTTGGTGACATTAGAGTCCTACCCAAGAAGATTTTTTCAAATTGGCCATTGAATTTCAAAATTGAAGTCAGTTTTCGTAGAAATGTAATCTTTGATAACTCAAATAACAGTTGAAAGATTTGTTTTGTTTGGTGGGGTACTCCGCGGAGTTGCTGTTTTCTAGTTTCAAACACAAATAAAATGAGGCAATGCCTTGGTGCTAGTCACCGACTTCTGTTTTACGATTATAGTCAATGGGTGTGAAACTGGGTGCCGATGATCCGTTACACCAGAAGATAAAACGTGCTGAAAAACTGTTCCCTCTTGCGTTTGGAGTTGATTTATCATACCTCGATGTGGTTCCTTGGCTAAGAAATCTTCCCAACAAGGCTACTAAAGTTTTTAATGATGCAATCGAGGCAGCGCGAGAAATGGAATCAGAAATTTTTCAGAGATCAATGGTATGTACTTTTTAATTTTCCAGAAATACTCGGCCGAAATGGCCCGCCATTACTACGGCCCGCCGTTATGACGTCACATATTACTCGTATTACCAGGTGCTGTGTAGGCGATTATAAACCGGGTGAAATATTGTCTTTGTTCACAGTTTATAGAAGGCGTGAATGTTTCGCAATCTAAATGGCAAAACGGTGAGATGAATCGAATAATAGATGCAATATATCAATTATAAAAACCACTTTTCTTGTAGTCTAACGTTGAGAAGTCAAAGATTGATGGTGTATTTGATGCCATTAATTCGAACAACGAATATTTGGACAAATCCTTCATTAAAGGCATGACCAACGATATTACAATTGCTGGGACGATGACAACAACAGCACAAATCAAATCAATGATTGCATTAACAGTGGACTATCCGAAAGTGCAACAGAAATTACAAGACGAAATAGAAACGGTGTTAGGACAAAGGTATATCCATGTAACTCATGTAATTTAATAGGCCTGTTTATGCAGTCATGCACATCGAATTAATTTGATCAGATGAAAAAACTAGTGATAACATCAAATGTGACGGTATTTGAACTTATCAATACCCTACATCTTCTCCCCTTTAAAAGGCAACCAGAGGTATGAGGGTAAACCGTGTTAAAGCCACTTAAAGTTTAAATCTTAGGCTGCATTCGCGAAAGTATCTACCGGCTGTCGGCTACGGGGGTTAACCCATTAATTTGCATAAATCAACCCGTCATTCTGTGGTTGAAATAACGAACAACCCGTTTGTCGACGAACGGTGATCAGTGATCACATAGCTTTTGATGCCACTGTAAGCTTCGATTGTAATAAACCGCTCAACGTTCGAGTTTGATGCGATAGCTTACAGCAATTGGGGTGCACGGCAGGTACTATTCATATAAAATGAATCTGGTATCAAATTGCAATCAACCCGCTAGCAGGTAGTGGCATTTGCGAATTATCGGCTGCTCGCGTGTGTCAACCGCGCCGGCCGGTTGCTTGTGCACCACAGGAGTTGATTGCAATAAACCGTGATGTCTTTCAAAAGAATTATGTGAGTGTCAGTGCTCTCGAATGAGCTTTTTTGTTGAAAACACATGGGCATGTAATGAGCACTGCAGGGTTAATTGTTGTTATATTAAGTGATACCTGGGGATAAACCTCATTAAGAATTACGCAATGCACTAGCAACGCGGGCATACAAAAATACAGTATTAGTTTCATTAACACGTGGTCCGAAATAAGACTTCCAATTGCCTGAGGAGTTGTACTTATGTACTTATTCTTTGTCTTCATACTAACAAATATGACCTTTAGATTACCAACGTATGAGGATCGGCGCTCAATGCCATACATGGAGGCGTTCATATTGGAGTCAATGCGTTATATGTCGGAGGCTGCAGTAGCTATACCGCACGAAACTCTGAAGGACGTAACAATGAGGGGGTACTTCATACCTAAAGGCACCCAGGTAAGATGTCAATTGCAAATGTTTGAGATGGACCAAAAAATATTCAGAAGAAATAGTCTTGGTTCTTTGAAAAAAAAAACTGAAATTAACGTTCATCTTTTTAAGTTCAGTATTGATATCTAACTGAGAAACACTTTGATTTGTCAATACTGATAATGTGATCAAGACTTTTTTATTTGGTAAATGCTGAAAACAATACACATATATAAAACATTGATACCTTTTTAAGGGCTTTGGGGAAGATCATCTAAGACACCACTTTTAAACATGTTAAAGCTGCACTATACTTAAGTTAGAAGAAAGAAATCATTGAAACATGTTACTCACACACTTGCTCAAATATGACACAAAGTTTGATTTGCTTTAATATTGAACCAAGAAAAAAATAACTCACATAGAAAAAAGCATTTGAATTTCTAAGATCATTAGACATTCATGCACATGCTAAACAAAGTGCATATTTTAAATTACTATTGATTTAAAAGATGGCGACACTTCTATAAAAATGAATGTATCATGTAATATAAACAACTTCGCCACCTTTCAATGACATTGATAAAAACTTGATATATAAATCTTGACAGATCGGAAATATTTTTTGATAATTTATTGTAAGCTTTGATCAGTTGATGTGGTCAATTTGAGCTGTTGTTGGTGTCAAATGAAAGATAAGTTTCTTATCAATGTATTGGGCATACTATGAAATTTAAATGTAAATCTTTATTTTGCCCAAAAATGTTAAAAATTCACAAAGTGGGCCTTTAAGTAATCAATGTCAAATTTAATTTTTAGATTTGGCCAAACCTGTATGGACTTCATCACGATGAGCGGTTCTTTCCAGATCCCTACGCGTTTAAACCCGAGAGATTCCTGGACTCAAAAGGTGAAGTGATACCAGCGGATGAGAGAAAATAGTGAGTGATCAGATGTTTAAATTTTAGTTTGTTTAAATGTCCATTTGTTATTTTACTTAATCTAATTAAGGGATTAAATACATCATCTGAGGTTTTAAAAATAACAGTTAAAGCAATTATGTATGTTCCTGGGCCTATAATTTGTACTTTGCAGTTTAATGCCATTTGGGGCTGGCAAAAGAGTATGTATTGGAGAACAGCTGGCCAGGATTCGAATGTTCCTATTCATGACCACCTTGCTTCAGCGCTACACACTGTGCCCTGAGCGGGAAGGATGCCCTCCAAACTACGACTCGCGCAAGTCAGTACTTGGAATAGTAATGCAGATGCATCCCTACAAGATAAAGACAGTCAAGAGATAATGCATGTACACTTTATTACAAAATATGAACACAGCTCTCAATTTTGACAGAAAATGAAAATTTTGAGAAGAATGAATATATCAATGAAAAATGAAGAATCAAGTTACATAAATCTGAGACTATAGATTCCAAGTAGATTATCGGACCTGTATTTTATAAGAAATTAAAATAGAAAATAAAAATATCAAATATAAATATATTGAAAAAACTGAAGAATCTACAAATGATATAAAACTAGGAGTAGACCTGAAACTAGATTCCGAGTAGGTTATTGGATCTGTGTTATATCTAAAAATATGAAGCTAGATATATCAAGAACATTTATATAATCAAGCATTTTGCATTTTGTGCAACTGCCTTGCCAAGAAATTTATTCAGACGTGCAAAATTCTTTAATCCTGCATATCTAAATTTATGCACGATTTAAATCAGTTGCATCCCAATGTTAAGTCAATGGCATCCTCGCTGAAATCCTCATTTTCTCAGAAGAAGTCAAGTTGATCGAGTCTCAGGAAGTAGATTCTTGTGGGGGAGTATTGGTAGAATCCATTTTCAATAGTAAGAATAAGGATTTTTACATTTGCCCATTTTGTTATAACAGTGAGATCTTCCCTGTTTTAAAAATTCCCAAATGATGAGGTAATTCTTGGTGAAGTAGTTCTAGGGGTTTAATCACTAAAAATACAATGGATATAGGCTAGTTTCAATATTTATTTCTAGTTGCATTTATATATGTTTATAAATATCTATTCGAACAAAATAAGTGGAGTTCCATTCTATTATACATGTCATAATCATGCCTGGTGATCGGATAAATGAACGGAGCGGAGCAGGTGATTTCTGCAATAAAATTGCAACAAATCTGGAAAAAGATTTCAAGAGAAAGTTCACTTTTGAATTGCTAAATGAATGGGAGCACGGTGTGGTTAAATAGGTCTTCAAGGGTTTTTGAACTGATATACTTCTTAGATATGAGATCTATTAAAAGAAGGCGCAACGTCACCTTGGAGTATCTACCCTAAACGTCCTCTTTTTAGAACTCAATATCCATCCTATCTTCGACAATAGCACCCATATCTTCGTTCACATTCAGCTCAGGGCTGTTTCCACTGAAATGAACTATACTTTTGGCCAAACACTATAAGTTTTGAAATGCCTGTAACTTTTTACCATTTGTGAGTTGAACAATGATACTCTACAAATCGAAGTATCTTTGGATTTAAGCTTTAAAATAATATATGACACATACTATGGAGACATTGGTATATGTTTGCCTAGTGGGTCCATACTTTCGGGACTCCCTGCATATTAACGAAAAATGAAGAATCTACAAATGATATAAAACTAGGACTAGATCTGGGACTAGATTTCAATTAGGTTCTTGGACCTGTATTATATCCAAAAATATTGCATGAAACTACTGTATACTCATAGAAATGTTAATCGTTCTTCTTGTAAGAGTTGAGTAAAATTATTATGGACTAAAACTCTAACACTGGAAAGCAGAAAACAGGGTGTCCGGAAAGTAAAGATACAAATGCACTATATAGGCCTAATTCCAAAAAGTTTACCTGTTGTGACAGTGATATGAAATTGTTACAGATTGTAGAATGACATAAGGCCTGTAACAATTTATCCTGCAACTGTCATGACATATAATTTCTAAATTTCCTGCTCATATCATCTTGGCACTCCATCATCTGTTTCTATTAGGCCTATACATCAAATTATGTACCACAACAGCATAAGGATTAGTACTGCATCTTGACCAGAGATACAAATACCTGACAAAACTGGCTGCTGTCAACCTCTCAGATTGCTTTTTATTTCCTTTTAATCCAAGGACCTTTTTCTAATCACTTATATAATATTTCTTTTTACTCGTTATATACGCTTAAAAGATACAGCCTACAACAGACACATCCGTAAAAAATGTACAGCTCCTGGGCCACCACGGGGGCTTCCCGTTCTTGGAAACCTTTTCCAGGTGTTTGACAAACAGGTGTTCCTAAAACTGTGTGATTGGCAAAAGGAGTTCGGAGATGTCTACAAATTGAATCTGTTTACCGAAGAAGTTGTTGTGGTGAATGGAGATGCCATTTATGATGTCTTAGTTACGAGCGGGGATGATTATGGTGGGTGAGTCCAGGCAGCACGCATTAAAATCTACTCCAATGGCTTTAGAAATATTGGTTTTAGGTAAGCACACTACCCCGGCAATGGATAAAAGGAGTTAAAAGGATTTGTCAAGTGTCATCATAATTTATCAACATCATCGGTATACATGATGATATCCCCATATCAAGTCAATGGAGCCGAAGAAATTTTTTTTAAATATATACAAAGAGGATTGGAAGCCAGAGTTTCGACTCTATTTTCTTTACTGCGATATTGCTGATCGTGCCTGTATATTTCTTCTATTTTATTACATGTATTAATTTGCATGGCGAAACTTTTGGAAAATTACATTCATTAAGTTATTGAGCGGTTGAGCCTATATAATATCCAAAATACATTGAAACTAAGCCAATGTGAAAACATTTTCAAAAGTCCAAATGTATTCATCGGTTAGGTAAAGATAATTAATTTGTATTACTTTCCTCAAATCACTAACCAAAATAACTTACTTTTTCGAGCTTTCGGTAGCAGCTACTACATTTGTCAAAATCCGCCATCGCTGAACATATAGTTTCCAAAACGCATAGGATTAACTGGGAGCACAAAATTCTAGATAGAGAACCCCATTACTTCAAACGGAAAGTAGCCTAAAGGAAGCACTTCATATTCATACGCAAGCCACAACTTAATTAGCTTAACAGGGACTCTGGATTTAACCATTCTTATTTATATCTGTTCAAATAAAACTGTTTTTAAACTCAGCTATCATCGTGTCGTGTTACGAACAATCAGTGGCGGATTCAACGGTGTGATCGTTGGTCGATTCATTCTTGAGGAGTCGGGGTAGTGATCAGTAGTTCATTCGACGATGTGATCCAAAAACAACTAAATAATTTAAAATCAAAAACATTGATTGCCCCCTGGATTCGCCAGTGAATCATGCAGTCATGAGGGTAGCCTAAGCCCCGATTACCATAACCTGGGGGAATACTATTTATTTCAGGCCATAACTGTTTAATTTCGCACCAGGAACTCTTTCAAATGATTACCATACAGCCATAACTATTTAAATTTCGCGCCAGGAATTCTTTCAAGTCTCGTGTAAACTCACGTTTAGTTTCAAATCGCGGGAGAATTACTAAATCTGAAAATTCAAACATGTGAAATTTCTGTGTTTATTGCCTATACATGCTGTAGTAAACGTTAATAATACATCATAATTGATTGGTAAGTAGATTATGGTGACAATATAACTGTTTATGTGGTAGAATTATTACATCTCACTTCAGACAAGGTACATCAATGACATCTTGTAAAACGTATTTTTTTCGATTTTTTCAATTTTCACACAATTTCAGAAATTCAGGCCTATGTGATTGTCTCTGTGGTTTCCAACTGTGTTAGTGCGGAAATATGTGTCAGTCACAATCAATATAGTATGTTAGCTTAGATCGTGGACCTTTTTCCTCTCAGATGAAAGCCTATACAAATAATTTAGCTTTCTTCACCTTTTTCCATTTTCTCAGGATTCAAGGTTTATAACCAACATAGAAAGCTTATACAAATAATTTCACTTTCCTCACCTTTTTCCATTTTCTCAGCATTCAAGGTTTATAACCAACATAGAACGTGTTACTCAATAAGTGTGAAGATGACTGAACGTGATGTTGAGATGGAAGAAAATGAAGATGGAGACATAAGTGGGGAAAGTGATGCAGGAAGTGAACCAAATGACATGTCTGAAGATGACAATGACTCTGGAGAAGATGACGATGACAAACATTCGCTAAAGATACAAGAACTTGAAGCACAAGTAGGTTTATTAAAATGGTGACAGTTAATAAAATAGAAGTTAACGTTTTGTCAATACTCCTGGCCATTGGGTTGTTTCGGGGATGAACTTTATCATTTTGAGCGTAATGAAAGATTATAGAATGATGAACAAATGGGGCAAATCTTGTGTAGAAATACTTACGATAAATGTGTCATTTTAAAGATTTTTCATTGAATTGCTTCGATCGGAGCCGGCGATATGATTTTGGAAAGGATTCTAAATGAAGAACGTGACGTCACTTCCGAATCATAGCATTCAAAAAAAGTAGCATTTTAATTACGTTCACCTTTTATAATTAGACAGTGGTCAAGCGGTAGAATGCTCGCTAAGCACGCGGGAGGTCCGGGTTCGAACCCCGCACATGCCTTTTTATTTTTTTAACTAAATGATTGTTCTTTGATATTACACAGAAAAAAACAATTTTTATTTACATAAACTTTATATTAGAGCTTGAAAATGTAAAAACAATATATGTCAACATATTGCGTTTTGGAGCGATGTGCAGGTTTAAGTAAATTATTTTGCCTATATTAGCAAAACATCTGCTTCATTTGTGTATTTAACCCTTTAGATAAAAGTCTAAGGCATCTAGAGGCGAATATGTATCAGAAGGAACTCTCTATAGTGCTGTCCCTAGGTCTGATTTCGTTACTTGGCTTGGAAAAAAGGTTTGTGGGTATCATTTTGTTCCAGACACTCTCTAGAATAAATTCATCTTGGGTGGAGTAAAAATGTGTGGTAAACGAATTTGCTATGGGCAGTTAAAGAGGCGCCATCTATTCATTTTCAAACAGGGGGTAGGGGTATAAAATAATTTTTTAACACATTTTACTATTAAAATGACATTGAAATACTAATAAAATCTTATCAAAAACATTATTTACAATCAGTATGAATTTTCTTGTGTGGATTAGGGTGAAAATAAGGGCATATCTTGAAATTCACTACAGGGGCGCCACCTATTTTGGTACTCCTACCACGTGTAATAACTTATTTTAGATTCGTTAAGGTACGAAATGTACTGAAAAAAATCATTCTGAAGGACCTATATATGTTCATACCACATACTTAAAATTAGATCAATAGCTTATGTACCGGCGGAGAAAAAAATTATTGAAATTTAAAATTGTGGTATCATGCAGGATAGGGGTGACCATATCTCACATTATTAACTTCCAAAATATGGAGCATATGTATCTCAAATGTGCTCAAAATGTTGTATGTACTCTTGCTTTGTCATAATATTACTAATAAGAAGTAGAAAAATGATTGTACATTTTAGAAATTATTAATTCTCATTTTGGCTTCTGACGTCCCAGGGGTGACCATATCTCACCTTTATAACTTCCAAAATATGGAGCATATGTATCTCAAATGTACTCAAAATGGTGTATGTACTCTTGCTTTGTCATAATATTAGTAATAAGAAGTAAGAAAATGATTGTACATTTAAAAAAATATTAATTCTCATTTTGGCTTCTGACGTCCCAGGGGTGACCATATGTCACCTTAATAACTTCCAAAATATTGAGCATATGTATCTCAAATGTGCTCAAAATGGTGTATGTACTCTTGCTTTGTCATAATATTAGTAATAAGAAGTAGAAAAATGATTGTACATTTAAAAAAATATTAATTCTCATTTTGGCTTCTGACGTCCCAGGGGTGACCATATGTCACCTTAATAACTTCCAAAATATTGAGCATATGTATCTCAAATGTGCTCAAAATGGTGTATGTACTCTTGCTTTGTCATAATATTAGTAATAAGAAGTAGAAAAATGATTGTACATTTTAGAAATTATTAATTCTCATTTTGGCTTCTGACGTCCTAGGGGTGACCATATCTCACCTTAATAACTTCCAAAATATGGAGCATATGTATCTCAAATGTACTCAAAATGGTGTATGTACTCTTGCTTTGTCATAATATTATACTAATAAGATGTAGGAATATGATTATACATTTAAAAACTTTAATTTTAGCTTCTTACGTTCCTGGGTAATCATATCGCAACATATAATAATAATAACTAGACATGTAAATTGAACAAGTTCAATTTAAGACTCCAGATTTAATACTTTTTTTAAGCTGAGTCATCCAAATACTTGTAAGCTGAGTCATTCAGAATAAGCTGAGTCAGCTAGAATATAGACATTTAGACAACTCTTAAGAATGTTATCTTCGACTCCATTGGCTTAACATGGGGATATCATCATATCGACTTTTCGAGACTTCAAACCGCTATATCTATCTAATCAGAAGTTGGATCGAAATTTGGTTTAAAGATTCTGATTCCTGAGAAAATTCTACCCTTAATTCATAACTCATACGTTAAATTTGGAGAAACTTTCATGTTGACCTACTTTTCGGACACTATATCTCAAAAGTGGGTCAAAATACTTTCTGACGGCAAAAGGCTAACACTATTAGCACACTCTTTGCTACATGTATACAAAATTTTGAAGCAAATAATTAAAGTGTAGTGTCAGAATCGCAAAAATAAGTTAAAACTATAAATTTGAACCAGATTTTGACCTAGGCATTTTGGTGACCAAATTGTGAAGCTAGCTAGCTTTTGAGGTCCCTTTCTTTGATAGGCTTTCATTATGTGAAGCTGTACTCAGTCTTTATCTCGTATTTTACACTTCAAAAAAATCTTTTTTCCCATTGCCATAACATGGGGCACCAAATTTAGCGATTTTTGAGCTTTCAAAACGACATAAATTCCAAACCAAAAGTCGGATTGAAATTTGGTTTGCAGATTTGGATTCCTGAGAAAATTCTACCCTCAATTCATAACTCATACGTTAAATTCGGAGAACTTTTTAGTTTGACCTACTTTTCGGACACCATATCTCAAAAGTGGGTCAAAATACTTTCTGACGGCAAAAGGCTTACACTATTAGCACACTTTTGGCTACCTGTATACAAAATTTTGAAGAAAATTATTAAAGTGTAGTGTCGGAATCGTAAAAATAAGGAAAAACAATAAATTTGACCTAGATTTTGACCTAGGCATTTTGATGTCCAAATTTTGAAGCTAGGTAGCTTTTGAGGCCCCCTTCTTTTATGGGCATTCATTATGTTAAGCTGTACTCAGTCTATATCTTGTATTTTACACTTCGAAAAAGTCTTTTTTCCCATTGGCTTAACATGGGCACCAAATTTAGCAATTTCGAAACGCTATAGCTTCCGAACCGGAAGTCAGATCGAAATTTAGTTTGCAGATTTGGATTCCTGAGGAAATTTTACACTTATTTCATAACTCATACGTTGAATTTGGAGAACTTTTTCGTTTGACCTACTTTCCGGACGCAATATCTCAAAATCGGTAAAAGTAATCAAAAAACTGATTACTCACAGTCGAAATTTCTTTTTCTTGGCTACACGTTAAAAAAAAAATTTTGAAAAAATATTGAAAAATGACAGAGATAATTGACAAAATGATAATTTGACCTAGATTTTGACCTTTGACCTAGATAAAAATTTGACCTAATTTCCCAGAAACTAGGTCTCATTACCTATTTAACCATGTAAGCAGATTTCAGAAAGTCCCTCTAGTTGCTGAGAAAACGCGGAAAGAAAGAATAACTAGAGATCAAGATTGCAAGCAATCTTACGGAGGCCCGTAGGTGTTTTGGCCTTATATGGTCAACCAATGGTCAAAAGATGGTTATTAAGTCAGTTTCTAAGTCAGCTAGTTACTAAGTAGTTATTGACTACGTAAGTTACTAAGTTAGTAACTTTAAGTATATTACTAAGTAAGTTATGAAGTTGGTTACATGGTTTCTTCCAAGGTCAACCAAAGGTCAAAACCAAAGTCAGATTTGAACTCCTGATAATTTGTAGATGGTTTTTAAAAAAAAGTTTGGTCAATTTAGAGCAAGTTGAAATTTGACCTTAGAAATTCCGAAATTTGACTTTTTTAAGTTTTTGAGCTCTAATATCTCAAAACTGGTGCAAAATTTGAATAGATAATCAATAACTAACATGTGTATAACCTTAAGAGGAATCTATATTCTGACTTTCATTAAAAAATATTGATTTGTAGTCACCAATTATGAGAAACTTAGAAAACACAGTTTGTGATTAAGCTTGATGACCTTGACCTTTGACCTTGCAAATTTTACTTTTTAAGGCCTCAGTAGGTCTTTTTTGAATAAATATACCTAAATTTAAACCCAGAAAATCGATTTGAAAAATCTACTTTTTTTACACTTTGGAGGTCACTGAAGGTCAACCAAAGGTCAAAGGTCAAAAGTAAGGTCAGATTTGGAATCCTGAGAACTTGTAGATGATTTTTAAAAAAAGTTTGGTCAATTTAGTTCAAGTTGAAATTTGACCTTGAAAAATTTCGAAATTTGACCTTTTTTCAGTTTTTGAGTTCTAATATCTCAAAACTGGAGCAAAATTTTAATAAATAGTCAATTGCTAATATGTTTAGAACCTTTAGAGGAATATATATCCTGACTTTCATTAATATATAATGATTTGTAGTCACAAACTTTGAGAAACTTAGAAAACACACTTTGTGATTTAATTCAATGACCTTGACCTTTGACCTTCAAAATTTTACTTTTTTGGACCTCTTAAGGTCTTTTGTGATTGAATGCATCTAAATTTGAATCCAGAAAATCGATTTCAAAAATCAACTTTTTTGACCTTTCGAAGGTCACTGAAGGTCAACTAAAGGTCATAGGTCAAAACTAAGGCCAGATTTGAGTTCCTGAGATCTTGTAGATGCTTTTTAAAAAAAAGTTTGGTCAATTTAGAGCAAGTTGAAATTTGACCTTGAAAAATTTCGAAATTTGACCTTTTTTCAGTTTTTGAGTTCTAATATCTCAAAACTGGAGCAAAATTTTAATAAATACTCAATTGCTAATATGTAAAGAACCTTTAGAGGAATATATATTCTGACTTTCAGTAAAAAAAATTGATTTGTAGTCTCCAATTTTGAGAAACTTAGAAAACACAGTTTGTGATTTCGTTTTATGACCCTGACCTTTGACCTTGCAAATTTTACTTTTTTAGACCTCAGAAGGTCTTTTGTGAATAAATATACCTAAATTTGAATCCAGAAAATCGATTCGAAAAATCAACTTTTTTGACCTTTCGGAGGTCACTGAAGGTCAACCAAAGGTCAAAGGTCAAAAGTAAGGTCAGATTTGGAATCCTGAGAACTTGTAGATGAGTTTTAAAAAAAAATTTGGTCAATTTGAAGCAAGTTGACCTTTTTTGACCTTTTTTTGACCTTCAATATCTCAAAATCTAGGCAAAATTTCTGTAGACGGCAAAAGGCTAAGACTAATAGAATACTAATATCTATCAGTATGCAAAAATTCAGCCAAAAATATTGAAATGTAGTGTCAGGATTTGAGAAACTTGAAAAAAACTTAGATTTGACCTAGATTATGACCTTTGACCTTGACCTAGATAAGAATTCCTTTCCCGCCAAGTTCAGCCAAGGTCCCTAGTATGACTATGTAAGAGCTAGTTGAAAGCTAGTTGGAAGTAGGAGAAAAGGTCCCGGGAAGAATAAATAAAGAATAATAATATCTACAAAATTAATAGGAGGCCCCTGCCGGGGGGCCTCCTAATAATAAGAAAACTGGCAAAAGCAATAGACTCCAGATTTTCAATCTGGAGTCTAATAACTTCTAAGATATGTAACATATACGCCTCAAGTATTCTCAGAAAAGTCTTGTCTTTCATATTACTAATGAAATGTAGAAAAATGGTTGCATTTTTTTTTAAATTTTAATTTTAGCCTCTGGTGTCCCACCTTGATAACTCTCACGATATGCAACTTATGCATCTCAAATGTGTGCTCAAAATGGTATAAATATAGTCTTGTTTTGTTATATTTATTTAGAATCATAAAATCAACAGTTCAAAATCAATGGATTTTGACTGTCTCCTCTACAGCTACATATAATTCAGGGCAAATAATATCTGCTTTCAAATATTTGCATCTGCTCCCCAAACACCCCTTACAGGTACAATGGAGGAGATTATTCCCTTGCATAACTTGGACCAAACATCTTTTGTAATCCATACAGGAATCCTTTTAGCCTATCAATAGTGGGAGTACTTTACTCCATTTATGGAGTAATGGCAAATGTTGATAAGGTGTTAATATGTTATCCTGTGGCCTGCAATATATGCACCTTGGATCATACACTGAATTAAGAGATTTTGAGTACGTAAAATACGGGAAAAGGAGCTCTTTGTAATGATAAATCTTTCTAGCCACATTCTCTAGTTTTCATGTTAGTCATACAACATACATTGATTGTATTGAAATATTAATTTATGATTGTGATGTCCCGCACTTCTAGGGTCCCAGAGAAGAGCTTAGCTTTTGGAACACTTGCATTACTCTTGGCATGATAGGCCATACAGTGAATACAATTGTTGAGATGGGGCAAGAACAATATAGCACATTCGACAAAAGACAACTTGAAAACCTAACAGTACCATTTGATAGAACCATATCCAGGAACAAAGTTCTTCAGTTAATTAGGCCTCCAAAACCTCCATTCATAACAGATTATGGAAAACTATAATTCCTCCATTAAATTAAATTTTGAATGACCATGCCAAAAATTAGATCATTAACATGCTAAAACCCAACAGTGAAAATATGCAGAACATGAACATAAATGATTGTGCAAATTAAGTAATATTTCTTCCCCACATATAAAACATAGAAATGGAACAAGGGAGAAGGTATATCATACTAATTCTCTTGTAAATTTCCTAAGATGTGCCAAGAACAAGAGTGATCTGTTTTCCTTCCAGACATCAAAACTTTATGCTAAAAAAACTGAGTGTCAATTTGGATTGCATACTGAAAGAGGAAATCTTATCAGTATCTACCTTCCCATGTTATTATTGCAGAATATGGCCATGGCAAAACTTTAGCCCTTTCCTTATGCAATCATTGCATGTGATGCCATATCTGCATTCTAATACTGTTCTAAATCATCTGATTTCCGATCTGGATTTCTTCTGATACATGTACCATAGAATGAGAGACATTGCAGTTATAAAGTCATTTGTAATTCTGATATATGACAAAACATGCAAACGAGAGAATGTCAATCGGGATTAGAAGTGACTTATCGCCCTTGTAATTTAGCAGTGGGACAGTTTGGTGTATGTTTGGGCATAAATGCACCTTTAAGGCCTAATTTTTCAGGATATTTTCAAAATTTCGGGTCAGATTTGCGGTTAAGGGGCCAATTTTGGTAAAAGAGGCTAGGCTACTCACACTACTGATAGGCTACCAGTATACAAAAGATGTTGCATATGCAAAAGACTTATCGTCCATTGTTCCTGTAATATAAGGAGTGTTTGGGGAGAAGATGCAAATATTTGAAAGTAGATCTTATTGTCTCTGGGCTATATGTAGCTGCATCCTTCAGGGGAGACAGTCAAATCCATAAATTCTGAACTTCTGATTTTATGAATCTCAATAAATATGACAAAACAAGACTATATTTATACCATTTTGGGCACGCATTGAGATGCATATGTTGCATACTGTGAGAGTTATATCAAGGTGAGATATAGTTGCCCCTGGGATGTCAGATTCAGAAGCTAAAATGAAAATTTCAATTCAAAAAAGGTGTAATAATTTTTTCTACATCTCATGAATAATATTATGACAAAGCAAGACCATATGCCCCATTTTTGGTATATTTGAGTTGTATATGTTACATAATTTTAGAAATTATTGAGGGACGTCAGAAGCTAAAATTAAAATTAACATTTTTTAAATGTATAATCATATTCCTACATCTTATTAGTATAATATTATGACAAAGCAAGAGTACATACACCATTTTGAGTACATTTGAGATACATATGCTCCATATTTTGGAAGTTATTAAGGTGAGATATGGTCACCCCTGGGACGTCAGAAGCCAAAATGAGAATTAATATTTTTTTAAATGTACAATCATTTTCCTACATCTTATTAGTAATATTATGACGAGACAAGATTATATACACCATTTTGAGCACATTTGAGATACATATGCTCCATATTTTGGAAATTATTAAGGTGAGATATGGTCACCCCTGGAACGTCAGAAGCTAAAATGAAAATTAATATTTTTAAAAATGTACAATCATTTTCTTACATCTTATTAGTAATATTATGACTAGACAAGACTATAAACACCATTTTGAGCAAATCTGAGATACATATGCTCCATATTTTGGAAGTTATTAAGGTGAGATATGGTCACCCCTGGAACGTCAGAAGCTAAAATGAAAATTAATATTTTTTAAAATGTACAATCATTTTTCTACATATTATTAGTAATATTATGACAAGGCAAGACTATATACACCATTTTGAGCATATTTGAGATACATACATACATACATACTTGTATGCTCCATATTTTGGAAGTTAATATTGTGAGATATGGTCACCCCTATCCTGAATGATGCCACAATTTTAAATTTCAATAATCTTTTTCTCCGAAGGTACAAAAGCTATTGATCTAATTTTAAGTATGTGGTATGAACATATATAGGTCCTTCAGAATGAATTTTTTCAGTTCATTTTGTACCTTGACGAATCTAAAATAAGTTATAACACGTGGTAGAAGTACGAAAATAGGTGGCGCCCCTGTAGTGAATTTCAAGATATGCCCTTTTTTTCACCCTAATAAACCCAAGAAAATTCATACTGATTGTAAATAATGTTTTTGATAAGATTTTATTAGTATTTCAATGTCATTTTACTATTAAAATGTGTTAAAAAATTATTTTATACCCCTACCCCCTGTTTGAAAATGAATAGATGGCGCCTCTTTAACTGCCCATAGCAAATTCGTTTACCACACATTTTTACTCCACCCAAGATGAATTTATTCTAGAGAGTGTCTGGAACAAAATGATACCCACAAACCTTTTTTCCGAGCCGAGTAACGAAATCAGACCTAGGGACAGCACTACTATTTATTTTGAGAAAAACAATTCTTATTTATATCTGTTTACCCAGATGCGAGTAGGCAGTTGCCAGTTTCATCACCAGGTGACTAATACTGGGTGAATAACAAGGCAGGGTTTTAGAATTAGTGTCTCTTAACTTGAATAGCCATCAGTTTTAGTGGTTCAATTTTCACGTTTTACGATTTTTTAACATGGGGTCTGTTGAGTCTCCCCTAACTAAAAGTCACATTTTTAAAATAATTAAATTTAATTTGATAAATAATTTTTAAAACCACAATTTTAGATGTAATTTTACAATGACGAATTCAGGATTATTTCTACTCGCAGCTAGTCTATAGTAAAGTTTCTTAACAGACATCGATCTTTTGATGCCTCCCTAATATTGCCATGTCCTCTATGTGTATTTTAGTTTACATCCGATTTCCCACATATAATTATGACTTAAACCATTGATTGTTTATTTTGTATATTATATTGACTTAAATGATTGTTTATTTCAGATTACCTCCAACCCATATATGTATGACCCACACGTGGAGCTCATTTCATTGCTCAGAGCTGAAGGGGAACTTACAAAGTTACGTGAGGCCCGTGAGAGAATGAGTAATATATTTCCATTGACAGAAAGTAAGTTTTATATCATATTAAATCTAACAAAATGGGAGTTAAGGAAAATATTAATGCCATTTAAATGAAGAAGAATGAACTGTGAATGTAAAATGTTCAAATTAATTAAAATTGAAAGAAGGGACATCCCATTTTCACTATATCATCAGACATTTTAACCTTTGAAATCAAGACTATCTTGAAATAAGCCTCTTAAGCCTCCTGAGTAATTCGTAGGGGTGAGACGGGTTGAAAAATTCCGATTTGGGTCTTGTTCGATTCAGATAGGAGAAATGACGATTCAAGTCTCCGGGGTCTCGTCTAACCCCTAGTAACTGGATATGCATTTCAGAGCTGTGGCTAGAATGGTTAAAGGATGAGGTACCCCTTGCAGCTGACAGCCCAAGTGAAAGGATAAGAATTAATGGATTGTTTGACAGAGCTGTGAATGACTATATGTGTACGTATTTTGACATGTATTTTATCACACTTTTTAAAAGTACTGTCTTGTCATTGCCTTGTACTGATTGGCATTTGGATGCCACGTCAGTCTTGTCATCAAAGTTTTAGGAAAACAGTTGTTTAACCTAAAGATGATAGATTTTAATTAAGTCAATAGGCCAAGGGACTGTAAAAGTGTTCCACTCACTTATAGAGGTGTTCCACTTGAACGATTTTACTGTATTACAATCAATGTAGGCCCTAAGGATCTGAAACCTGCTGGCCAATATGGCATAATGGACCAGTTGCAATGTTATTTTCCTATACCTAGTGAAAAAGCTGATCGGTATCAAAAGTAATCAAGTAATGACTAGCGGACAAGCCGTAAGGTAGAACTCTCCTTACTTTTTGTACCATTGAGATACATGCAATGCGATGCAATTTAATAAATTGACAAAGTTCAGATTAGAATTTCTTAAATCGCAGCCCATCGATTTTCAAAGAATTTCAGAGAAATACAGCAAAGCATCTCACCTCCATGTCAAAAAAATTTCAACAAAAATATCCCACGAAAATCAAAAAGGATAGTACACTCAGTCTCTAAGTGTCTACACTGATTACAATACTTATACTTGCAGCTGTTTCCGTGTGGCTCGAGTACGTTCAATACTCAATAGGTGGCCTTGCAAGCGAGGATGGTCTAGCAAACACACGTCAAGTGTTTGAACGGGCATTGGTAGCCGTAGGCCTGCACGTCTCAAAGGGTGCCCATATATGGGAAGCATATCGGGAATTTGAACTCGCAATTCTTGCAGGTTTACAGGTAAATAAAAGACCATTCTAAGTGAAGCATATATTTTAGGAAGTAAACTTTAACATGTATTTAACTTAAAAGCACTTACAGATTTTGTCTCAGCCTTCAAATGTCCTCTCGTATATAAAATTAACCATGTCTGAAGTATTTTCCAAGCATGTCATCAAAGAGCCATCAGTAAAACCTGTCGAGTGGAACATCTTTGGTCTTCCACTTTGGAGTTGTTCTCCTTGCAGAGGTTCTTTTTCTTTAAGTTAATGGGAGCAAGGACTCGTATAGATGGCAGTTAACTAACTAGGTTGTTGTTCACATCAGGCCCATTGATTTGTGTGTAAATATTGCTGTTTTAAAACTTCACCACAAATTCACTACATTTATCAAATAAATATCAAAATTTCCTTCATTATTATTTACAAACATGTTTTAAGATTCAAAATCATAAGGTTTTGGACATTTCCAATAAAACTTATATTGGGAGATTTTAGAGCAATTTTTACATGTTAAAGTATGCTATTAAACCTATTGAATTTTATGCCATCTATTGACAGTCCTGAAGGCCATTGGTAATAGGACATAACCTGTTTCAATTATGGAGGTGTAACACTAAGAAAGGTGTTTCACTTAACAGATTTTACTGTATTCATTAAAAATAAAAATTATTCTTTTATTGTAACATCTTTGTAACATTTATGCATCTTGATTCACAAGGTTTCGATTGTTCCTACCTCAACTTGATAAATCTGCCCGATTTAACCGACCACTGCGTAAATAAACCCCAGCTGAGTTCACTCTCAATATTGCTCCTCCTGGCAGTTGCCCGCAGAGTTTTGTGAGACTCCACAAAACCAATCCGCCAATCAACAATGCAATATTTATTCAGTCCATATAGGAATTTTCAATATTTTGTCACGTGACAAAGCAGAGCGTTCTGATTGGGTCCGTGGACTTAACACCGGGCTATGAACCGCCACATATGAATGGGAGAAACAAATAGACCTTTTATGCCACGGGGTGTTTAGACCCAGTGGAAAGTGACGATGACATTTATGGATATCTTTGTTTTCTTATCTTTATTATTTCAGCCTGCCCCGGGATCAACAGCAACAACAGAGCAGCAAGAGAAACTGGATGACCAGGTGAAGAAGATTTCCACCTTGTTCAGGAGGCAGCTGGCAGTTCCTTTGATAGGTGAGTACATATATACAGTCAATCTCTAACAGTACTGTATGGTACCATATCATTTTAACTACAGTATTGCAGGGTACCGTAAAATATGGTGCTTCAAAATATTGTACCGTGAATCATGATTTCATAGTGCGGATTGGGGTGTACATAAGTGATCTTTCTTGTATTAAGCTTTTGACAGTCAGGCTTTCTGGATCGGTTTGAAACTGAGGCACTTTTCATTTTTGGCAGTTTTTGACAGTTGTCTTAGAGATGCATATTATGGACCAACCAGACTTGAGGCAAGTGCCTCACCAACACATTACAAAAATATATATTTTTTGACATTTTCAGCTAAAAATTATGGAAATAAAGTCCAAATGTAAAAAATTACCTCTTAAGGCTAAATTTGCCACACATTCTATTTATTTTGCCTCACCTATTTACATTTGCCTCACCTAATTTTAGATCTTGGCTACATCACTTCATATAAGTACACCTAATCTCCTTGCTAGACTAATTTAAACTTTTCTTCTTAGATATGGAAGCCACTTGGACTGAATATGTAGATTTTGTGGATGAGGTGGATAGCTATGTGGAACAGACCTATAAGAAAGCCCTGGCTAGACTCCAGAAACTCATGCCCTTTGAAGATAGTTTGGTGAGTTAAGTCCCTGATCAAACTTGAATATAGACAAGTTGTTTTCATATAGATGGAACGTAATTTGTTTCATCCTTTCGTCTAATGCCTTAGTCACATGAGGCCATTGCTTGTATCCTTAATAGCAAATTGCATTTTCCCTACCTGGTTCTGATAATGATAGCTTAGTTAGTTTTCTTTTTGAGTTGGGGTTGATTGTTAATTCATCATGTATACAAATTCATAATATTGAAATTACAGTTATTTTACTCCTCATTCCATCTTTTTATTAATTCTTCAATGCATTTTTTATATAATACAAATGTAATAAATAACTCAACTTCATTTACTTCAGGGTATAATCAATTGTCTATTTTGGACGTTTCAATTAATATATCACCAGAATGGAGAATTTACACAAAAATTTACACATGTATTTTCTGTATATGTAAATGGGCGATGGAAGGCCGTGGGTGGCGAATAAAATACAACAGAAACTATGATTTAAAATGTCTAAAAAAGTCTATTTCAAAATCTGATACATGTATCTCTGCAACAATTGACTAACTAACTGACTTACTGGGCAACACCCAAACTCATGAGTGAGTGAATGTGATCTATATATATAACATGAAGACATGAATGAAAAGTAAAAACAAACACAGCATGAAACAACATACAAAACTGGTTTAAACAATAGAACATATATACAAAAGTGACTTGCAAACAACATGGTTATAAATATCTGAAATACTGGATGTAAAAGTAGTTGATGCAAGAGGATTAAAAGGACCTGTTAAAATGAACAAGGAAACAAATCGGGATTGATCAATATGAAATTCAAAATATGAAATAGCCTGGTTACATATACTACAAATGAATTTTATATAATATAATACAAATGTATTTTCTATACAATACAAAAGCTAAGTAGTTATAAAATAATTCAAAAGTTTTATTGTTTTATATGAATCTATTTTCCATTTTAGGACCTGGCAAGCTCTCCAAGTTTGGAGGATTTCCAGAAGTATATCGAGTTTGAGAGTAAAGATGGTGAACCTGCAAGAATACAGTGCATCTATGAGAGAACGATAACAGTACATTGTCTCATACCAGAACTATGGCTTCAGTATCTCAACTACCTGGTAGGTAGACAGCTCCCCCCCCCCACACACACAAGCTGTTGTCACATACTTTGATTCATTAAAGAGAAATATGAGTTTGATCATGAAATTTTGCATACTTTAACTTTGTACAATTTGTGACACTATATTCATTTATAAATCACTGGATACTTCTATAAAAACAAGGCACAGGGTGAACAATATTGTATCTAAATATTAAAAATGTCCATTTACCCTTTGTATGAAGAAACTTCCCTGAAACTTTATAATATATTTTTGAAATGTGCAGAAAAACAAAGTAAGACACCAAGGTCATGCTAGCTGATGAAAATTTTATTAACATTAAAGATTATCATTCGTGAACAATGCAGTGATCAGTGTGTATCTTGAAACTGTGACCACATTTTCCAGGACAGTAAGCTGAAGATCCCTACAGTGATATTCTCAGTGTATGAACGGGCATCTAGAAACTGTCCCTGGTCTGTTGGTATATGGCAGGGTTACTTGAGGGCAGCAGAAAGACACACTCAACCTGAAGATAAGACCAAAGGTAAATTATTGACCTCTGGAGAGGTTAACTGTCAAACTCATTGGAGGGATATCATTTTCAGTCATTTATGCACCATGTTAAGGATTGCCTTAGATTCTTCCAGACAGTTAGGGCCTGTAATTTGACACACATTATTGTCCCTGTGGATGGGTTGGATGGATGTAATTTTCAGTCATATAATTATGCACCATGTGAATGATTGCATGAGACATCCAAGCAGTGAGAGTTGGGAATTTGACACACATTATTGCACCATGGGGTTGGATTTTGACATGCATTTCACTCCAGGGACTGGGGACTTTTGAAATACATATTACCAGTTCTCTAAATTTTGAGTATATTTAACCAGGTATTAATACTCCAAGGGTCGGGAAATTGATCCTCCTTAGGTTGATCCCAAGCAAGGGAATTTGACAACCCAATTTTTATTTTCCCTAATGGGAGTCTCCCGCAAACCTTTGTTTGGATGATGCATTACTCCTGTCATATATATCGAGAAAATTAATGTTTTAGATTTTGAAAAATCATTTTAATCTAGAGCTATGATGAGAGAGCTAACCTCCCATCCATTTAACTATAAAAGGATGGACCTTTTTCATTGGTCTAGGACTGAATCATTATCATTCCCAATCGGTCAACACTGATTTATTAATCACATATCTTAGAAACAAAATTGGTGTATCAAAACTTTGTAGAATGCTTCATACAGTTGGTACATCAATTCTGTGTAGTAGCCATTTGTGGAGTGTTTCTGACTCCTTATTTTTATGACATTTTCCTTTTCAGAGATATTTGACAAGGGTCTACAAGGAGGGTTTGCAGAAAGTGGTGATTATCTTCAGTTATGGCATTCCTACATTGACTATATTAGAAGAACTGTCAATTGGGAGGAAGGTACAGACATTTATTAAAATATAGTGAATCTTTCTCTCGTGGACATATTTCTCTCTAATGAACACCTCTTTGGGAAACATCTGTCTCTACTGAATACCTCTCTGTAGTGAACACCTGTCTCTTAACACCTTTCTCAAGTGAAAAAATGTCTTGTGAACACCTCTTTAAGGAACACCTGTTTCTACTGAACACCTCTATATAGTAAATACCTTTCTCTTATACACCTTTCTCAAGTGAAAAAAAATTCTAGTGAACACCTCTTTAGGCAACACCTTTCTCTACTGAACACCTTTATTTATAAACACCTTTCCCAAGTGAAAAATCTGTATTTAGTGAACACATCTTTATTGAGCATGTCTCTGGTAACCATCATTTCTCGACATATGTGACATAGTGACTCCCTGGCCCCTTATTAACTCCTTGTAAACCCCAAAGCAAGCAAAAATGAAAAATGCTCTGGTATTAAAGGGTGACGCATGTCGTTTAGCAAATTGAACGCTCGTTTCTGGTGTTGCTCACCATTTAGTATAAAAGGCTCGATCCCAGAATAATACTCAAGGGTTCAAAGGCTCGAGGTCGTTGTGTCAACTAGACCTCTAACTTTTATATAACATTGGTACAGTATAGATCGTCACACATTTAGAAAAGGGAGATTTTCATTTTATACGGGAAGCTTATCGGAACCCTTTAAAGAGGTTAACCAACCTTTGTATCTAATTTTACAGATCACACTGAGAGCCTAGAGAAACTAAGGACCACATTTGACCAAGCAATTGAGTACATGCAGAATGGTAAGTGTAGAAATTTCTGTGTAGTTTAGTCCCTCGTGCTCCTTTAACTCTACAGACTGAACCATTTCTCTGGATTTGAACCTAACACTTTGAAATTTTTGACATTTGTGGCGTTTTTTTGTTGTATGACGGCGGTGCAAGTGAATTTGATGTGGTTGCGTCGTATTCATTTGTTTTACACAGCTGTATTTCACACATACAGGGTGTTCCAAAAGTAACAGGACTGGTGCTGGCATTTTGTCAATTTTGCACCGAGTATCTTCTAATTTACACAAATTGTACTTTGAAGTATTGCAACTTAAATCATAAAGTTTCAGAAAAAATGATGAAATGCGGTTAGAGTTATGGTTACTATAGTAACATGACATTCCAATACCCGGGGCAACTTTTTTCCTGAAAATGTGATATCTAACATTTTTGTATTCCTGAAGAAAGTATCTAATTCACCTATTATAATACATCATTTCTTGTTTATTTGATTAGTTCCTTTGTTGTAAAGGTGTTGCTATAAAACTCAGATTCAAGTATAATCTCATAATGATAACAATATTTATTATTCAATTTCCAGGAATATCTCTATGTATAAAAGTCTGAACAATTCACGGTTGAGTTTTTGAAAAGACCCAATTTGAAGCCAGTCATCTACCTTGATAGCGTGCATGCCCGCAGGTCACCATTAAAGACCATGCAGCTATAGAGGAGCTAGGTCTTGAGGTCTAAAACCATGCACCATACTCCTCTGATCATGCAATATCTAATTTGTTTTACTTATTTTGAGAATGGAATGCTAATTAGTGCTGTAAGACCTTTAAAGATGAGAATGACCTTCTCCAAATTGTCCAATCGACCCTGCGTGACATGTCCTCAAATGGGTTCACTCATGTGTTTGGGTCATGGATACAGAGTACTACTCTTGTACTGACCAAAGAGGAGCCTTCTTTTCAAAGTAGAGGATAGTATAGGAATATCAAATGATGTATTTAGCAAATGTAATTCCCACCAGTTGTTGCATTTCAACTTTGATATGGCATGTACAAAATGATATGGCATGTAGAAAATGCTTAATGTCTCTGTAACTTTTTGCGTGGAATGCTGCCCCGGGTATTGTGATGTCATGTTACTATATCAACCATAACTCTACCCGAGTTTCCCATATTTTGTTGAAACTTTGCAGTGTTAGTAACAATACATAACATAAAAGTACATTATGTAAAATTTTGAAGACGATTGGTGCATATTTAAGAAAATGCCAACCACCAATTTTAAGGATTAAAATCTTGCTCACGGTCACAAAAGCATGTACAAAAATACAGTGTTAATCTCAAATTTTCACTTCGACGTCTACTTTTGGTGCAATTTGTGACATTTTGGTGCAATTCTGTGATCACCTGTTTTTTACTATATCATGAGTATCGGACAGTTATACTTTTTAGCAGAGTAAAGGGAAATATGAATTTTGCAAGTATATTTGACTAACAAGAGTTACTCTTCTGTCACCAGGCTGATAACAATTAAAGTTCTATCGGCAAATTGATAATAAGATATAATATAGGAGTTTAACTTCTTCTGTATGAATAGTAGCTCATGACATGCAGAATATACAACAGAGTGTCTTCAAATGTCATGCATTATGACAAAACATGCCATAACAGGGGTTTCAATAGAATTTCACACAACAGGCTAAATAAATGAAAACAACAGGCAAAATCAATGGAAATCATAAAAACATGGAAAGGTTGCTAAAAACAACAGGCAATTTTGTGAAAACAAATGGTGAAAATTGCCTGTTGCCTGCTGCTATTGAAACCCCTGCATAAGCTCGGAGACTCTAGTTTATCATGTCCTTTGCCTCAGAGCCCCTGCTAAGTTAAACTCAAGTTCCCTCACATACTACTTTAAAGGTTAATTAGTCTTGCTTAAAAGACCCTTTACTCCCCCCCCCCTCCTTTATCCTTCTCTTCTTATATTGCCAGGTAAAGAGAGTGAAGGTGTCAGGAGGGGGTGGATACAGTCTTTGAGCAAGACTAAAGGTTAATTTAAGAGTAATCAAATCAAATCAAGAGTAGTGCTAGAAAATAAGAATAAGTATAAGAAAAAAACACTGCTAGAAAAACTGTTTATTTACTTTAAAGTGTCTCACATATTCAATCAAAATTTGCCATGCAAACATGTTAGTCTACTTTACTGGCCCCCCTTGCTGTAACAAGGAACCCAAAACACATTAAAACGTAAACATAAACCAATTAGTCACTTCACTATGAAAGTGAGGGGTGTTAGTCCATGCACACAGCGTATTCTGCTAATACATATTTGCTAACACAATATCAGTGGTCATTTACTGTGTCAACTTAGTAACCCTTGCATATCGTGCTCACTCAAGTATTGAATATTTTTTTATGATCTAAATGTGTGGGTTTATAAAAAAATGTGATATATTTTAGTTAGAAATACATTAATTAATATATTCATCCAAACAGCACTAGAATGCGGGAAGAAAGAGCAATGGTGACAAAATGCAGACAGAATTTTCTGTAAGGGTTTCAAACATTTCTGGACACAATCATACACGTACTTCATGTGTACTGTTATTTTTAGTGCTGTATTTATAGATATAATTTCACGTATTAAAATCATATTTTCCAGCAATGACTTCAAATTCGGAACCACACCCATATCACATTTTCTTCAATAACTCCAAACATGTGTAAACATTGACCATGTGCATATAAATTCAGATTTCACGAGCTCTTTCCTATTCGAGTACTTCATACACCCCTGCATGGATTTGAGATGGATTCGCCTTTTATACGTGAGCCGACACACTCGCAAACGCTGATTGGATAAAGATTGCGAGAATCTTTAACTCGAGTTGTTAGGATGTACTTTAGATATGCAATTATATAGATACTTGCTCCTAGTAATTAGAGATAAATCAGTGTTATCCGCTTGAAGGTTTTAGATACAGGGTTTATCCTGAGGGAATAGAGAGACTAATGAAGATAACATATTTAGCTAGACTGGCAAATGTTCCAAGGAGAGATATGAAAGAGTTATGCACTTGGTCAGGTATTGAGATGATTTAAGGACTTTATTGATTATCATTCCTCAAAAGTGTTGTTTCAAACTTTGCAAGAGATGTGTAGCATTGAGTGCTAAGTTTTGGAAACAACACCTGGGTGGAATGAATCAGCCACAATGCATTGAGTCTTCAGCTTAAATTCTTTTCACACATTGCAACATATTTTGTACAATATCACTTAAAAGATACAAAATAACTTTTTGCAAGGGTCAATTTGTCACCTTGACAACCATTTAACACTTACCATTTGCCCTGCATAAGCACTTGGCTTGTTACTCCCTATGATGCTATATGATCACCCTATCGGTTTCATTAGTTTCACTAGAATCTAAAAATGACCTTTGGTACATTAGAGTAGTATTGCAATGCAGTTATATGGAATAGCTTGTTCTGATTGGCTGGAATTGGACATACCTTGTCTAGCTATGTGTGAAGTGAATAATATTTCTTTTACACTGCTACATTAACATATGTGACATATGTAACTTGACAATCCTTTGTTTGGTTTGTGTGTTCACTTTTACCTGTTGAGTGTTGTATGTTCACTTTCAGTACAAGTTTGTCCTGCTCCAGTAGAAGTAGAAGTGCTAGTTTTGGGGAGCAGCTTCGTTAAGAGACTTGAGACTTATGTTAAAGACCACCCTTGGTACTGGAGTCCCCCAGGGTTCAACTTCACATATGTCCCATTTAGTGGAGGTTACATAGAGGATATTATCAATATAGCTAGGAATTATATAGAGAGCAATCACTTTCAAATAGCTTATGTTCAATGTGGGGGTAATGATGCGTCCCACCATAGTAGACCCCAGGATGAACCCTTGGATAGAATAGCTCTGAATTTGCACAATGAAATGTGGAGATTAGCCAAGACAGTGTTACAAAAACTGACACCAGGGGGAATTGTTGTGATTGGGAAGATCCCGCAACGCTGGTTAACACCAGTAAACTTTTATCGCAACAACTGAGCATGCTGTACGCTGTAATTACGTCATCTCAAAGTTGAATCAGCTTCTCCAGGAAAAGGCTGAGGCATCACCTTCGGTCATGTTCTCTGATACTAAAGGTATAGAGGAAGACTTCAAAGCAGTGTTAGAAGATGGAACTCATTTTAACGAGAGAGGATATGAACTCTGGCAAGATAGTATGAAGTTAGCAATAGAGGAGGCGTATTCTAGGCTGCCCAAAAGTAAGTTAAACATGAAAATGAATGTATCATATAGTGATTTAATCAGTCAGAGTCTAGGTGTATTTGGCAAGGATTATAGGGTGAGACAACAGAGGGTATGAAATCAGGCAATATAGTATAAAGTTAGCATTTGAGGAGGCATATTCTAGGCTGCCCAAGAGTAAGTTAAAGTGTGCGCCTGACCCGGCTACGTATAGCACAGAGTTTATACTGGCGGATTAGACTAGTTCATTTTTTATATGTGTGTGAAAGCTTTCTCTTATTTGCGTTTTTTCGTTTAGTACGGTTTTGTTATAATTGCCGAGGTCATATAACCGGGATAAAACAATGATTATCGTTGACTGCCCACACACAAAACATACGTTGAGTGAACAGTGTTATTACAAACAACAGGCTTTAGAATACAAAGCGTAGTGTGATAATAAGCTGCACACTACCACTGCTGCATGTACATATTACTAATTTACTAGGGCTCCCAAAGAGTGGATAGGGAGGTTGTGTTTGTCACTTTTAAATTTTACATTTCAAAATTGTCATTTTACATGTCATAATTTGTTGGTTTCATTCGTTTAGCCAATCAAAACATTGTAAAACAATAAATTGTCTGTTACGTACAATCAATTTTGTTCAGTTTTGATTAGTTGTCAGAATAAAGTTACGTTCATCTGAATCCATGTATGAAAACAAAAATCCTATTTTCACTTCAAAATACATCAGTGAGATGAAGGCTCGGAATTGTCACATGCAATAACTTATTGTCGTATTCGTTATTTTATCTTCTCGATAGTAGCATTTAGTCGCACATTTGATGCCAAGTCACCTTGTCGCGTACCTCTTGGGGAACCCCACATTTATGTGTGTACTCATGGAAGTAAATTCCCCGGTGTAGCCGAGAGCCACAAACTTTTCAACAGGTTCGAAATGACCAATTTCTCTCATATATACTCTAAATATTTTATTATTTAGCACCTACAAAGTATTGCTAATAACCATATGTAATTTCAATAAGGAAACTTATCTGGCTACATATAAATTCAATATCAACACTAGCTGTTCTCTCAACACGTCCTGGCTTACCTTGTGGTGACAAACCCTGGGTTTTCGCTATTTATAGTTTATCAACACCTGGACGCATGCGCATTTTATACTTTATCGGGCACTTTAAATACATGAAAATTAAAATATCATATAGTGATTTAATCAAGTAGAGTCTAGGTGTATTTGGCAAGGATTATAGGGTGAGATGACAGATAGTATGAAGTTAGCAGTTGAAGAAGCGTACTCTAGGCTGCCCAAGAGTAAGTTAACCCATGATAGATGAAAATATTGTACAGTATTGTGAGAAGGTCACTAAAGAATCTAGGTTTGGAATAGCTTGTGTATTTGGTAAGGATTGTAAGGAGATAGGGTATGAACTCTAGCAAGCTAGTATGAAGTTAGCAATTGAGGAGGCATACTCTAGGCTTCCCATGAGTAAGTTAAATACATGAATAAAAAATTATGAATATATAATATAATGAGTAAATCACTTTGAATCTAGGGTAAGAAAAATCCATTTAAGTTCCAAGGATTGTAAATGGGAATGCTTCTTTACCAACTTGGGTCGTGTAAAATTAGGACTGCTTGACTAGGCTGTGGTAAAGTGGAGCCCTCTATCTGTTGTCCCAGACAATAACTCAACAATTTGTTTCTCTTCCACTTTCATTATATTTAATTATAATTAATTGCTAAAATCTGATTACTAATTATTCCCTTATATACATTAATTATCACAATTTGGCAGTCTATGACAAAAAAAGTTTTAAGTACCCTACTCACATTGAAATATTTGAAACACTTTCAATTAATTCAAAATGCCAAATATTGCTCCTTCAATAATTTAATGTGCCTGCAAAAATGTAACATAAAGAGTATAAAATCCTAAAATGATTGCGGTGAAAAAATTGTAAGATCCAAAAATGTCCTCTACAATCTACATTAAAACCTTTGGAGAGCAGTGTGCTTTTACTCCAGTGTAAGTTGTTGTAATTCATGACTAGGGTCAGAAGAAGTGAGTAGCTCCCACAATTCTTTCATATTCTATCGTATTCCCCATTACGTCATCTCCCGCATCATCTCCAATCAAATTGCAGGATGTGATCACGTGAACAATCATGAGCACATGCTCTCTCAGTGCTGCGCATGCGCAAAGTTAAATTTAAAATCGTGGGAATGGCGTTAAAGGTCATCTTTGGGAAATCTCCCCCCCCCCCTGACTAGGGCATTGTATAATCTGATTTGTCCACATGATTTCAATATATCCTTATTTTTACACAGTTCAATTCAGAATCTTCAAAACAAAATTCTGATAAAATATTTTTACATGTATTGGTATCTCACAAGGTAAACTATTGCAATTGCCCACTTGTCTGCCTTTTTTATGAAATCCCCTATAAAGCTATTAAAAATAACATTCTTAAGGTCTTAATATGACAGGCCATCTGCGTCAATCGAAATGAATGCCTGAAAACGACAGAACATAAATATGTGTCAATGGAATTAAATGCCTGAAAATGGCAGGACATAAAGATGTGTCAATAGAATTAAATGCCTTTAAGTGACAGGCCATCTGTGTCAATAGAAATGAATGTCTGAATATGATAGCCTATATCTCCATGGAACTGAATGCCTGAAAATGCAGGCCATATATATATATGTGTCAATGGAACTGAATGCCTGAAAGTGCAGGCCATTATATGTGTGTCAATGGAATTGAATGCCTGAAAATGCAGGTCATTATGTGTCAATGGAACTGAATGCCTGAAAATGATGGGCCATCTGTGTCATTTGAACTCAATTCCTGAATACTTGGTTGCAGCATCTTTGACGTACGCCTGCACAGTGAAATCAGGAGGCCCTCGTTTTGGTTTAAAGTTTTCTTGATCTAGTGATATGACAGTCTTCATAATGGCTTGTAGCCCAGTCAGCCTCAATAGTACGCTACTGTGGTCGTTTATATGACCCCCGATGATAACACTGTCCTTTCCCTCAAGGAGCAACCCTACAGGAAATACAAACGGCTCTTCAATATACCAATGTCGAACTATGGGATAGCGTTTCAATAGATCTGGGTGGACTTCTATAGGTCCACTGGCATATACTATTCTTGGTTTGGGTGTGGTGCAGAATACGACGAGATTAAATGTATAGAACCTCAAGCCTGTTGCTTTTTTAAACAGAGTTGCATGCGTAATAGTTATGTAATACGAGCCTTTATATTTCTCCATTGGAGTCCCACCCCTTAAAGGAGTTTTAATATTGCTAAAAATTGCTGACAGGTTTCCGCGGAGCATTACAAACTTACAATCGCAGGCGTCATCACCTAATTGGCATTTTAGAATACGGAGTGGGTCAAAACCATGTACGAAGTAAAGTTCATTGTTCTTTATGAATGGTATCCAGTGTTTGTCTCTCATTTGAGATTGTGGTTTTGGGCCCTTGATTCGAGGACGTATTAACACATTTGATTCCATATCCCAGATGAATGAAAAATCTCGCATTTTTTTTAGTGATGATATGTAGCCAGTGTTGAATGTCATTAATAAACGGTTCCTAAACGTAAAAAGTCTTGGCTCGATTGGACCATCACCTATATGCCATTTTGGTGTTACCATGCCAACGAGAGATCCATTGGTCAATGGCTGCATGAATTTATCAAATTGTTGCGTGAAAATAGTATTATCTTGAAACACATTTGCTGGCCATTTTTTTGCAATGTTGTACGCCTCATTTTGCAACCATATCCTAAGTGTCGTAAAAAGTCGTCCCTTGAACCATAAAATTGCTGGACTATTGGCATAAAATGTATTATCCCGACCATTTAATAGGTACATCTTTTTTGCGGTCTGTTCAACTCTGGGCGAAAACGAATAGACAAGCGATGTTGAGATGTTTTTGGACACACTTAATGCCATGCCTTTATCCGAGAATATAGCGCCATCTATTTTAAAATGATGCTTAAATGTTTCATCCAGTATCAGTTTCGGTTGTTTCATGTAGGTGATACCTTTATCACTTGCACTATTTCTATATGTAATGTCTCTACATGGCTTTTGGTAATATACAAAGAACCATTCAGTGCTCCTCGTAAATAACAATCCACAAAGCACAATTAATATAAATCCTAATATTAAAGTCCTCTTTGAATTCATTCTTAGCATCCTATTTAGGTGTCGTTTCAGGTATTTCATAACAGTTGCAACTTAGCAAATTCTGTATCCACCAATCAGTTTGATTTCATCGTTCAGTTGTGAAGGTTTTCAGGCCTGTAATATGAAATTAAAATATTTCCAATATATCCTTGAATTTTTGTAATCTTACTTATTAAGGTAGTTCCACATGATGTGAATATTAATACACATGAACATATTATAATTACCAATGATTAATGAAATAGGTAATATTCTTCTAATTTTTATTTGGATATTTACATCTAATGGTAGAAAACAGATCAAAATCAAAATGTTACAATTAAGCGTTAAAATGATATTTCATATTGTTTTATTTTCAACATTTTCTGATAGTGCAGAACTGACTTAATGCATAACTGTACATGTTTTTATGACTGTTTTAAGATACTTGGAGTTCTAAACTTTCATAAATTGTGAAAAAACTTGAGGAAATGTCATCATTTTTGCAAAACATTAAGATTTTGAATAACTGCAACATGTACATATGAGCCTGGGCACAAGAAAATGGGATTTTTTCAATATAATGAATTTTTTTGTTTATTTTAAAAAGCGCAAAGACACCTTTCAAGTGAGCCATGGTTGTGTCTTATCAAATTTTCCCTGTAGATATAGACAGAAATGACAGCTTTGAATTTAGCACATTTCCTCTTAATCTTGGGCACATTTTTGGCTCTGTTAAAGCACAATTTTAATTGTTGTGAATTGACCAGTTTTCCTGTGTTGAGGCTCATAAATTGATGATTGGAAAATGTAATATGAAATTATTTGTCAATTCTCATCACGTAGATTTACCTTCATTTCTCCTATGTTGTTCTTTGAAGTCTTTTTCAGTATTTCCCCTCCTTAAGGGCCATATACTACACAAGCCGTGTTTTTCAAACTGACTGTACTATGTAAAATGCCTTTTACAAATATCAGCAGTATTGTTGAACAGTTTCTAGATTTTTCCAGCATTGTTCTTATTGGTTGGTGATTTAAATGTCAAATTAACTTAAGCCATATTAGGTAGTATTACATAATATGTGAACTACCCGATTATTCACACCAGTGGTATACCTGGCCACATGGCGATTGTAGTACCCCAAATGGGGTAATGTCAAATCCAAACATATATCCTGGTGATCAGCTTTACAATTAGGCTTTCAAAAGATCCTGGCAATTTTTGTTTTCTGTTATTTATTTTGTTAAAAATCAATCTGTATTTTTTGTAAATTTTTTCTTCTATTTTTTGTTAAAAAGGAGGTAAGTTTAAGGTGCCACATCGAGAACTTGTCATCATTTATTGATACAATATTAGCATTTAATACTTTTGTAAACTATGTACCTATTTAGTGAAATTGTGGTATTAGAAGAGCTTAACCCTTACAATTAAAATTACTTTTAAGTGGTACTTATATTTTCAACTTCCCTTATACTTTCTCTTATTTTAACATTGTATTTTAGAAGCAAAAAAAGTATTTAAAAAAGCCCTTCTCAAAATGTCATATCGAATTTCTGTTTAAGTCCCCTTAAAATGGACATCAACATAATTACCTTTTAGGGGCTTTTTGACTGTTTGCTTTATTTTGCCAAAATGCTAACTCTACACATATTCAAATTTCTACAATTACATATAGGCATACAAACTATTACCATCGTACATGACTCATTAATGATTATACACATTCAAAGTTATGCAGACACTTTGCCTCATTTGTTCTGTTTGCCTCATTTTATATCTGTTTGCCTCATTTCTGAAAATAAACAAAACCAGCATATGATGTCTAGCTTTTACTTTTCAGTATGACACAAATATTTCACTCTATTGAGATGAATATGGGGATGAATACCTGTACATCTTTCACAAGTCATATTCCACTAAGCTTAGAGGGCTAGTCGAATATCATCTTGTAGGAAGTGTTGCAAGATGATTGCTGTATAACATAGTGTATTCCGACCCGTGCATGAAAAATTGGCGTAAAGGGGCGCGAGTTGTTTGTAGAATGAATCGGTGGAGCTTTTCCATGCATTCCACTTATGTTTTAAAAACTTAAAAACAGAAATACACTTTGAAATGTTTTATTGACTATAATATAAGATTGCACCATAATTCAAAAAATTATTTCTCATTTTCAAGGATTATCCATGGATTAACACCCAGGTATTTTTATTTTTCAAACTTTAGAGGGCTGGGAATCATTGTGCTCGACGCTTTTGAATAATATAAATGCTGTTTTAAATAGGTTTCATGTCTGCCAGTAATTTCTCAAATTGTGTAAACTGCACCAATTCTTTAATCCCTAGAATATTCTCTGGGAGGAATTTCCCATGTTAATCCAATGGTGTGGTTCCAAGCAGATTTTGAGATAACAGGAAGGTCAATCTTTAATATATGATATAAATGAAAGCAACCCAATTAGGTGTATATTAATTTATTAAAGATTAATTAACAAATTTCCCATTTTGTATCTATTTAGTTTAAACAAATGATCAACTTTTCAGCATTAGAAATAACCAGCTTAGATATAACCCTCATAAGACATTGTTGCAAGGGGTGCTATGTAACATATTGTATCCCACATTCTGTATTCTCAACAAAAGCATATACATGTATCTAGATGGGAGAGTATGCTGACATATTGACTTAACGATGTCATAAAACAATTTTGATTACCCTTTGTATTCGTTCGACTTCACTTCTTGAAAGAGAGCTTCAAGAAGTGAAGTCGAAGTTTACAATAAACCTCTGATCTCACTGAGCTAATCAGAGCGCGTTGAAATACGGACAACTTTCTATATATGGTCATTTCCTCTGACATCAACATATTGTTGACCTAAAAAATTTGACTCTAAACCTACCTCCTGTCGGTCGTTTTGAGGTTAAATGCTAAAATCCTTGTCTCCAAACTTTAGGAAATATTGTTTTTTTATTGTTAGCCATTATTATATTTTCTATCATAAAATCTGTAAATTCTTGTATACACATTTCCAAGAGAACTGTTTGACGGATTGTTTTACAATTTTCAGGGATGATTTTTTATCCTAATTTTATGGTGTAAAAATCAGGTTTTCAGCTCTTCTTTGGTTATAATTCAACAAGTTTTTCACCAATTTGCTTGAAATTGTTGTCACAAATTTGCTTGAAATTGTTGTCACCAATTTGCTTGAAATTGTTGTCACCAATTTGCTTGAAATTGTACAGGTACCTTAATTTATAGGCTATAAGTTTCGGCAAAACAAGTTGCAAAGATTCAAAATGGCCACCACTTTTATTGCAGAAAAATCAGGTTTTCAGCTTGTCTTTGGTCATAACTCCATAAGTGTTCCATTAATTTGCTTGAAATTAAAAAGGTGCCTTTATTTCTATATTATCAACGATATCTACAAGTTTCAGCAAAATATGTCGCAAAAAATGGCCACCACTCTTATTGCAGAAAAATCAGGCTTTTAGCTCTTTTTTCATCATAACTTCACAAGTATTCAATCAATTTGCTTAAAATTGTACAGGTACCTAAATTTCTAAGTTATCAATAATGTCTTCAAGCTTCAGCAAAATATGTCGCAAAGATTGAAAATGGCTGCCAATTTTATTGTAGAAAAATCAGGTTTTCAGCTTTTTTGTCATAACTTTACAATTATTTCATCATCAATTTGCTTGGAATTGTACATACAGGTACCTTAATTTGTAAGTTATCAATACTTTGTTTACAAGTTTAGGCAAAATATTTGCAAATTTCAAAATGGCCACCACTTTTATTGCATAAAAATCATGTATAAAGCTACCTTTTAGTGTGCTTGTGAAATTCCTCTGTTCCAACTTCATTATGGAAAATGGTATTTATTGGTCCAAGCTAATACCCATGTTTTTTTTATTTTAGCTAGCCAGGTAGTTCGATAAAATTAGTATGTTTCATAATGTGCAAAAACTTTGATTATTCTAAGCTCCTACTGTAAACATTAAAAGTATTGAAACCTTACCATGTGAGTGCAATGCCCATGGTACTATTTTATTTAAGAAATATAGACTGAAGAGCAGGGGTAATATTGTCGAATACACCTCGCAGGGCTAGGCACAAACATTTCTGTACCCCAAACGACAGAAGGGAGTGAGGGGTTCAAAAGCTTTTGTGCCTCGCCCTAAGGGGTGTATTCGACGATATTACCCCTGCTCTGAGGTCTATATTACGATTCGAACATGAAACCTCACCAAAATGTTTCGAATATTCATGATGGTCCGCCATTACTACGACCCGCTGTTATGGCGTCACACATTACACGTATTACCAGGGGTATTCTTCGCAAATATACCCTGGGTGAAATGCTGAGTTTGTTAACAGTTTATAGAAGGTGTGAATACAGTCATGTTCGAATAATATTTAAATCTCAAATAAAAATAAGATTTGTGTCAACATGAAAGTGATTAATTCTTAAATACGAATTCTCAATGGCGCACCAGTGTATCTTTTACAATCAATATTTCATTAATGAAGTGTATTTTTAAAATTTAAATCTCAAATAAAATAAGATTAGTGTCAGCATGAAATGGATTACGCCCACAGATTACAATTTAAAAAAAGTAATGTCAGTATTAAACTCTTTTATTATTGACATTTAATCATACTAAATACTCTTTACTTTTCACCATAAAAAAACTTTCCTGAGAATATTGAAAATACACAGCAGCAGATAACCATATGTCATGTTTCCTCAAGATATCATTTATATCCCACTGTCAGATATATTTTTTTCATGAGTTATATATCTCACACAGACACCATAGGACATATACGTGTGGTAGGATAATGTAACTTGATATCCTAAGGTAGAAACAGCTCCAATATATGAAAACTGTTTTCACCATGTACACAGCCAATATAATTCGGCACCATTTCGGCATCGACAAAATTCGGCGCTGTTCCGGCACCGTTTCGACACCGTTTCGGCACCGAAACCTTTCGACACCAAAATTTGCTACCGGACTAGTCAGTCCATTTGGTGCCGAAACGGCACCGAGATTTGGCACCGAAACGGTGTCGAAAATCAGATTGCATTTTGGGGGTGTAAGCCCGCCAAATGTATATAATTGTATTGCTTCCAGCGTATGGAGTAGAGGGAGACCCAGAGTGTTCGCTTCATAAATACAGGGCTTGGGTGGAGGCCAAATACTGCAACAATATGGAGAAATGCCGTCAGCTCTGGAATGATATCATGGTTCTTGGACATGGGGCAGAAGCCAATATGTGGATAGAATTCTTCAATATTGAAAGGTGAATGATTTGGCTGTTTGCGCACGTGGGTAATTACTTAAAACAGGTCCCTATATTCAGAAGGGGTATCAGTCGCAGCAGGCACTTTTGAACCAAAATAGCCTGTTGTTTTAAAGAATTTTTATACTGTGTCAGTATTAAATTATTATTAACATACTATATTTTGTTATTATATCACCATCAAAAGTTGTCCCCAACTATTTTGTGGACAGTGTTTGACATTCAGGGTTTAGCGGCGTTTTGAGTTCGGCATCTGTAACAAATAGCAGGCATGGGCAAAGCGCTATTTTAAGAGTAGTACGCGTATGTACCAGCCTCTGGTGGCCTTGGTGGCCTATATTTTTGTTGTACATTTATTTTGTAACTGAATGGAATGAAACCCAAATGAAAAAATAATTAACTGATTTCTGATTCAGGACATTTGGTGATCCAAAACACTGCAGAAAGGTCTTACAACGTGGTATTAACTCTGCCAATGACTTCCCAGATCTGGTTTGTGAGGCGTACATCAAGTATGAAAGGGAAGAGGGTGAGTATTTTAGATAAATTTGAAATTGCGCTATGTGCATGATGGAAATATTTATGTGTACAGATAAGTACATTTAAGTGTAAAGGAAAGTAAATCAGACTATAATATAGATGTCATGTGAGTATGAAGTCATTGCATGCAGTCAGTCAAAATAAACTTCAATAGACGTTTCCGATAAATCGTGCCATCTTTTGGTCCATCAGAGAAACCACAATATATTGGCTAGATTGATGATGTCATAGGTTGTACTTTTTCAAAATTAGCAATAAGTTAATTCTATTTTTGGATGGAAAGATTGCTACCTTCAACCAATGATATCATCAATATTGCCAATATTAGGCAAAATATGTTGCAAATTAAAATGGCCACCACTTTATTGCAGAAAAATCATGTATAAAGCTACCTTTTAGTGTGCTTGTGAAATTCTTCTGCTCCAACTTCATTATGGTATTTATTGATCCAAGCTAATACCCATGTTTTTAATTTCAGCTTGCCAAGTACTTCTACAAAATTATTTTCAACCTTTGATAATGTGCAAAAAATTGATTATTCTTAAGCTCTTACTTTCAAACATTAAAAATATTGAAACTTTCCCATGTGAGTGCAGTACCCATGGTACTATTTTTTGATATTGTCATGGTTACTGTTGTTAGGGACTCTGGAGCAGTTTGACCTGGCAACCCAAAAGTGTCATGCTCAGTTGGAGAGAATTAAAGAAAGGAGACTCAAAGTAAGTAAAAAATCACAGTGATCTTCCAAGCATAAGAGCCAGGATTAAGTACATCATTATCCCAACGAACGAAGTTCGTTAGGGATATAGTGAAGCCCTCCGTCCGTCCGTCCGTCTGTCAGTCAGTCCGTCCGTCCGTCTGTCCGGAAGATAAATCAAATACTAGTTGACAGATTTTCTTCATATTTAGTGGAAAGATGTATATTGGTAAATAGTTTTACGCAAAAAAAAATTTTTCATCCTGACCCCCAGGGGCCATGTATGGGGGGACAGGAAAACAGAAATTTTCGCTAATTTTTAGATCTTTCTGAAGTATAGCTTTATTATACTCAAATGAAAGGCAATTAAGAGTAGATTGCAAATATTGTATCTTTTTTCTGATTCGAGCCTCGTAAAATTCAAAATGGCCGTCTAATGTACGATTTCGCAATAATTTTTCGATCCCTTCAAAGTATGGCTATATTATACTCAAATTGAAGGAATTTTGGAGAAGATCACAATTATGGTATTATTTTTCAGATTTGTACCTCAGAAAATTCAAAATGGCTGCTTTGCAGGAATTCGCAATTCTAAAATCTAATTTTTTCATTTTCAACCAAAGTAATGAGTATAATTGATTGGAATTCGGTAATTGATATTTTGTTCGTTGGGATTTGCTACTCCGCGGAGTTGCCGTTATCTAGTTGAAAAAGTCCTTATTCAGTTGGTTCACATATAATAGGACATTGATACCTGTTTGTAACGCCTGTGTTACACCTGAAAAATCATTTGTTACAAGGAATGTCAGAACACTTGAAACGAAACAATTAAAAAACTCCAACCATTATCAGTTTTAAGTGATGAACTGAATGATTTTGTTGGCTGGCTGAATTTTTGTTCAGTTACGATCAGTATGCCTGAAATCCTGATAATGTACCCTGGATCTATCAAATGAATTGAAAACAATATAGACTGCCAAACAGTATTCCTCATTTGACATTGAATTTGTAAATGTGTGTCTATGTCCAGGCTGCAGAAAAAGAGGAACTAGGCAAAGAACACAAAAAACAACCCAAGCAAAAACAAACAAAACAAGCCAAGCAACAACAACACCAAAACAAGCAACAGAAGTTCCAGAAACAAGATACAAAGGAGAAATACCAGAAAAGCGCAACTCAAGAAAAGCAAGGAATGAAAAGGAAGGTATGGTTAAGTAGGATAATTTTTGAATATTTCTTTTCTTCATTATACAGTAAGTGTACATTATATTCTAATATGATATGTGACGTCACAATAACTAGAACAATTGATTTACTGGTCCATATTGGAGTATGTATGACCGCTAAGATTCATAAATGCAAATATTTGTTTTTTCTTTCAAATTTTATTCTGGCCATTGCCAAAGACCTCAATCGCTACATGATTTCGATCTTTTAACAATGAACAGAATAAATTATTTTTCAGTCATATATCACGCCATAAATCATAAAATCTCTGTCTTTATTCCTTATGTATGGTATAATAATGTTGTGTCCTAATGTGAACACCCGACCTCTACGATTGATCCATTTGCTATGTTAGCACTTCAACTCAGGCCCAAATGTCTGAGTTTTAATTTAATCTTTTTCAATAATTTTGATTTTTCATTTTAATCATGCATTTCCGCAGTATGAGGACCAATCCACCAATGAGGCATCAAGTAAAGAGACTGGCGATGGTTTCCAGGCCTCCAAAGCTCCTGTTTCTAAATCCCCACCCCCAGGCTTCAAAGCACCAGCGCCCCCAGGTTTCAAAGCTCCTGCCAGTAAAGCCCCACCCCCAGGATATAAAGGACCCCCTCCTCCGGGATTTAAGGGACCGCCTCCCCCTGGATTTAAAGGTCCACCCCCTCCAGGTTACAAAGGGGATGAACCAGCTGCCAAAAAGCTTAAAGGTAAAATTGATCTTTATACAGGGTGACCCCAAAAAATGTAAATGCATCACTGTTTCATGCCTTGAACATGCCATATTTAGCATGGACAGTGCCTAGTATGAGTCAAAAAAGAGCACACTGTAATTAAGAATGCTATTCCAAAAAAGAATATTGCAATTTTGAACAACCCTGTATTATGCATTAAACTATTTTTGAAAAAATGAAATGTCTGCCTTCAAAGTTTCTAACCAAATTGTACATGTTCGAATAAATGAATATTATAATGATAATATATGTAATATGTCAGTTTCACGACATTCATTTTATTTTTTTAGTTGTAACAACCCACACATCCTACTACAACTGTACAAAGCCAAATTGGTTACAAGTAGAATATTATGGAGTCGTTTCTTTTCAAATCATTGAAATATATATACAGTAATGTCTCAACCCCCCCCACCCCCCACCCCCCTGCTAATATTAGTGAATTAATGTATGAACATTTGTTCCTTACAATCACTTTTTGCTTTTCAGAAGATACTCACGAAAGCAGTTCTACCAAAGCTGAGGATCCTGGGAAAAACAATGCTGCCCATGACCCTAGCGACCACAACAAAGATCTGACAGTCTTCGTTAGCAACCTTGGTTATGACATCACAGTTGATAAGATACGGGAAAAATTTACGCAAGTAAGAGCATTTTAATTGGGGAATCAGAAATATAAATAATAATTTTGAACCTAGCCAAATTGATACATGAAACTGCAAGTTGAGCCAACTTAATGGATATGTGTTGTTATATAACCAATAAAGTACAAAAAATTTTTTAAAAAACGTCCCGAACTTAGAGAGTTAATATCTCAGAAACTATAAATAGTATATAAGTGAAACTTTCAGTATTATAACTTCATCCTATTGCCTCTCAGACCTGAAAGTTTCAATGCAGTACCTTTAGTATTAACAACGATATATGTATATCAAACAGAATTCTTTTTTGCACAGCAATGCTACACATTTTTGGCACATATTATTATGTCACATATTGCTATAATTTCAAACCTTTTTGTGGACAGTGTTTGGCATTTAGCATCTGTAACAAATGTTAGGTAGTGACATTTTGCATGTTAATACTTTCTAAATGATCTTGTGGTGTCTTCCAGGTCGGTGATCTCAGTGATATAAGACTGGTGAAAGACTACAAGGGGCGCTCTAAAGGCTTTTGCTATGTAGAGTTCAAACAATTTGTAAGTACATGAAATAGTACATAATCTATAGTGTTCATATAAGACTGGTGAAAGACTACAAGGGGCGCTCTAAAGGCTTTTGCTATGTAGAGTTCAAACAATTTGTAAGTACATGAAATAGTACATAATCTATAGTGTTCATATAAGACTGGTGAAAGACTACAAAGGGCGCTCTAAAGGCTTTTGCTATGTAGAGTTCAAACAATTTGTAAGTACATGAAATAGTACATAATCTATAGTGTTCATATAAGACTGGTGAAAGACTACAAAGGGCGCTCTATAGGCTTTTGCTATGTAGAGTTCAAACAATTTGTAAGTACATGTAATAGTACATAGAGTATAGTGTTCATATAAGACTGGTGAAAGACTACAAAGGGCGCTCTATAGGCTTTTGCTATGTAGAGTTCAAACAATTTGTAAGTACATGTAATAGTACATAGAGTATAGTGTTCATATAAGACTGGTGAAAGACTACAAAGGGCGCTCTATAGGCTTTTGCTATGTAGAGTTCAAACAATTTGTAAGTACATGTAATAGTACATAATCTATAGTGTTCATATAAGACTGGTGAAAGACTACAAAGGGCGCTCTATAGGCTTTTGCTATGTAGAGTTCAAACAATTTGTAAGTACATGTAATAGTACATAATCTATAGTGTTCATATAAGACTGGTGAAAGACTACAAAGGGCGCTCTATAGGCTTTTGCTATGTAGAGTTCAAACAATTTGTAAGTACATGTAATAGTACATAATCTATAGTGTTCATATAAGACTGGTGAAAGACTACAAAGGGCGCTCTATAGGCTTTTGCTATGTAGAGTTCAAACAATTTGTAAGTACATGTAATAGTACATAGAGTATAGTGTTCATATAAGACTGGTGAAAGACTACAAAGGGCGCTCTATAGGCTTTTGCTATGTAGAGTTCAAACAATTTGTAAGTACATGTAATAGTACATAATCTATAGTGTTCATATAAGACTGGTGAAAGACTACAAAGGGCGCTCTATAGGCTTTTGCTATGTAGAGTTCAAACAATTTGTAAGTACATGTAATAGTACATAGAGTATAGTGTTCATATAAGACTGGTGAAAGACTACAAAGGGCGCTCTATAGGCTTTTGCTATGTAGAGTTCAAACAATTTGTAAGTACATGTAATAGTACATAATCTATAGTGTTCATATAAGACTGGTGAAAGACTACAAAGGGCGCTCTAAAGGCTTTTGCTATGTAGAGTTCAAACAATTTGTAAGTACATGAAATAGTACATAATCTATAGTGTTCATATAAGACTGGTGAAAGACTACAAAGGGCGCTCTATAGGCTTTTGCTATGTAGAGTTCAAACAATTTGTAAGTACATGTAATAGTACATAGAGTATAGTGTTCATATAAGACTGGTGAAAGACTACAAAGGGCGCTCTATAGGCTTTTGCTATGTAGAGTTCAAACAATTTGTAAGTACATGTAATAGTACATAGAGTATAGTGTTCATATAAGACTGGTGAAAGACTACAAAGGGCGCTCTATAGGCTTTTGCTATGTAGAGTTCAAACAATTTGTAAGTACATGTAATAGTACATAATCTATAGTGTTCATATAAGACTGGTGAAAGACTACAAAGGGCGCTCTATAGGCTTTTGCTATGTAGAGTTCAAACAATTTGTAAGTACATGTAATAGTACATAGAGTATAGTGTTCATATAAGACTGGTGAAAGACTACAAAGGGCGCTCTATAGGCTTTTGCTATGTAGAGTTCAAACAATTTGTAAGTACATGTAATAGTACATAATCTATAGTGTTCATATAAGACTGGTGAAAGACTACAAAGGGCGCTCTAAAGGCTTTTGCTATGTAGAGTTCAAACAATTTGTAAGTACATGAAATAGTACATAATCTATAGTGTTCATATAAGACTGGTGAAAGACTACAAAGGGCGCTCTATAGGCTTTTGCTATGTAGAGTTCAAACAATTTGTAAGTACATGTAATAGTACATAGAGTATAGTGTTCATATAAGACTGGTGAAAGACTACAAAGGGCGCTCTATAGGCTTTTGCTATGTAGAGTTCAAACAATTTGTAAGTACATGTAATAGTACATAGAGTATAGTGTTCATATAAGACTGGTGAAAGACTACAAAGGGCGCTCTATAGGCTTTTGCTATGTAGAGTTCAAACAATTTGTAAGTACATGTAATAGTACATAATCTATAGTGTTCATATAAGACTGGTGAAAGACTACAAAGGGCGCTCTATAGGCTTTTGCTATGTAGAGTTCAAACAATTTGTAAGTACATGTAATAGTACATAGAGTATAGTGTTCATATAAGACTGGTGAAAGACTACAAAGGGCGCTCTATAGGCTTTTGCTATGTAGAGTTCAAACAATTTGTAAGTACATGTAATAGTACATAATCTATAGTGTTCATATAAGACTGGTGAAAGACTACAAAGGGCGCTCTATAGGCTTTTGCTATGTAGAGTTCAAACAATTTGTAAGTACATGTAATAGTACATAATCTATAGTGTTCATATAAGACTGGTGAAAGACTACAAAGGGCGCTCTATAGGCTTTTGCTATGTAGAGTTCAAACAATTTGTAAGTACATGTAATAGTACATAGAGTATAGTGTTCATATAAGACTGGTGAAAGACTACAAAGGGCGCTCTATAGGCTTTTGCTATGTAGAGTTCAAACAATTTGTAAGTACATGTAATAGTACATAGAGTATAGTGTTCATATAAGACTGGTGAAAGACTACAAAGGGCGCTCTAAAGGCTTTTGCTATGTAGAGTTCAAACAATTTGTAAGTACATGTAATAGTACATAGAGTATAGTGTTCATATAAGACTGGTGAAAGACTACAAAGGGCGCTCTATAGGCTTTTGCTATGTAGAGTTCAAACAATTTGTAAGTACATGTAATAGTACATAGAGTATAGTGTTCATAATGGAGTGTTCATTATGAGATGCACTCACATTCTGATTCTGTGACATTGGCCTCGACAGATTATCTAAAAAGCACTTGAGATAGAACAAACATAGTGTGTAGTTTCCGTTTGCGATGTATTCAATATTTGAGATTTGCTACCATTCCGATTCTAATAACATTTGACTTGACAGCATATCTAGAATTCAAATGAAAAAATGCCCTCGTTTTAGATTACGCAGTTTTGCAGATGTAGTTTCCATCTCTATTTTAAGAGTTTGGCTGATATAGTTCTCTCCTTCGTTGTATGTACTTGCTGATTGGAGTATAAAGGTATAAGGAATATAAATGTAATTAGGTCCCTGGAAAAAAAACATTTGTGAGGGGAACAGTAATCCTTGGTGGTCAATATATTTATAAATATATTTATTCCAGGCATCTGTAGCTGAAGCGTTGAAGCTGGATCGGCAACCCATAGATGGAAGACCAATGTTTGTATCTCCATTCCAGAAAGATAATAGAAATAAACTCAAGGTGAGATTCATGTTATTGATATTAGATTCATGATCCATTCTTTGGATTGTCAAAGTTTGATTGTCAGTATTTAAAGAGGTTCTAACTCCCAACACATGTTTAGCTATCACAGCCCAATCATTCAGAAACTTCTGTTCAAATCATTTTTTCTCAAAGAATATTTATTTTACTATCTTTTCTTTTAAAAGGACATCTTTCAATACTTTTCAAAGATTAAAAATGCCTGATGTTCTTTTATAGTTTGACACAGGACTTGAGAGGAACAAGCTATTTGTGAAAAATCTGCCAAACACTACAACTAAAGAAGCATTAGAGAATATATTTAAACAGGTGAGTAGGGCTATGTAGTACTATTGCATTGGATTATTGTATATACTTACACTCCCTTCAAAAGTTTGACAAAATTGCGTACATCTATGTACGAGAACACTCCCCTTCAAAAGTTTGACAAAATTGCATACACTTTTGTACACTCCCCTTCAAAAGTTTGACAAAATTGCATAAACTTATGTACACTCCCTTTCAACAGTATGACAAAATTGCATACACCTATGTACACTCCCTTCAAAAGTTTGACAAAATTGCATACACCTATGTACACTCCCCTTCAAAAGTTTGACAAAATTGCATACAACTATGTACACTCCCCTTCAAAAGTTTGACAAAATTGCATACAACTATGTACACTCCCCTTCAAAAGTTCGGTTAAATCGTATTGATGTTTGAAATTCTTTTTTTCTGTCATCAGTGATTTCCAAATATAATATAAACACACTTCAATGCATGGTCCAGTGGTGGAGTCGGTGTTGCCAAATCTTATACAGGGGGTGTAGAATTATTTTTTCATATACATATATTAAGAGATTCTCTGTAATATTCATCTTAAATAACCGTTGTACAATTTTTTTAATTCATAATAAATAAAGTTTTTGAAAACTGAAAAAAGCTAGTAATTTTACAGAACTTGTTATGATCCATACAAGTGAAAATAATTGAAAAGATATGTTTCATATATTGCAGCATGGTATACTTAAGGAGGTGCGGCTTGTGACGTATAGGAATGGGGCCTCTAAAGGCATGGCATACATAGAGTACGAGGACCAGGTATGTTCTTAAAGAAGTCAAGACAATCCTCATCTTAAACATAAAATAGCATATTATTAAAATATATGTTTATTTCATCCAACATTATCAATGCGTTTTCATATAATTTATAGATACTTACGTTGCACACATTTGCATGTAAAGTCTCTGTATACGTCTTCTTATCCCTTTTATTCTCCAGGCTGATGCTAGTACAGCTATGTTAAAGACAGATGGTCTAGAAATTGGTGATAAAACAATATCAGTTGCCATTAGCAACCCGCCACCCAGAAAAATGCCAATGAAAGATCGAACATTTGCGCCATCTTTAGGAGGAGGAAAGAAACAAATGGAAGAGTAAGATCATTTTTCATCTTATTTAACTCCGGCTTCTAGCTTACTTCCTTTTCTGCATTTATAACGTAATATTACAATCATGAATCGGTATAAAAATATGAGTACATGGTAAAAATGTGGCAGATCACTTTTTTAATTTTTTAATTTTTATGTATTTTGTAATTTCAATGAGTTGAAAGAAAAAATGGTTTATCACATTTAATTAAGAAGCTTTCATAGATGCAATGCAAATAATTTATTTATTTTGACTATTTCTCATGTGATTCCTTATTTCAGTCGTAAGGCGAGAACTCAAGTGTCATTTATGCCTCGATCAGTTCATAAGCCATCATCAACTGTGACATCAAAATCATCTAGTGTAACATCACAATCATCCAGTGTGACATCATCATCCACATTAGACAGTACAGAACAGAAACCCCAGGCTACCGCAGGAATGAGCAATGCAGATTTCAGAAATTTACTTTTGAAGAAATGAACAGTGAAGTTAAACTTGAAATCTTACACTATTGCCAAAATAAACAGAGCATTTATGACAATGTGGTATTTATTCATTAGTTCCCAGAATGCACTTCTACAGTGGTATACGGAGGAGTTGTATACGATGACGATATACCACTCTCCACTGTATATCGTTGTTATAGACCCATGTTATACAACTGTAATTGGACTTAGAGTGGTATAAATGAAAGTATCACCATGGATGGATACATGTTTTTTTTTTAAGACTGATGCTGAGCAAGTTCTGGAAGTGAACTTCATCTAATTACCATACCTTCCTCTGATTGGTCAGTTCCTTTCTCTGTCATCAAGCGGGAGATTCAAATTGTGCTGCTTCAAATTGTTTTATTTGTTTTGGAAGCGAACTTCATATAACTGACACCTAAAATTGGTGCATTTTTGAGGAATTCTGATAATCTGATTAAGAAAGAATTTCATTGGCACAGCCAGGATCTTAATTTAGTTTTATGATTTATAGTAGATCTAAAGACTGGCTTTATTGGGGGATGCTGGGGGAAACTGTTTGAGGTTCCTGAGTTTTTATGCATTACTTAATGGACTCTATTTACAAAATAGAGGTGGAGAGTAGAATGAGCAAGGAATAAAATATCAATGAATGGTATAATACTTTTACTCTCTAAATAGACCATATAAAAAGAATCGATGTCCTCAGTTCAAAAAACTTCTAACTCTGTCACCTGCTGATGTAGCCAAAATATGATGTTCAAAGGTGCATGTGCAGTGTGGCAAGTGATTTTAGACGGTCATATCTTTTACCACAAAAAACATATTGTATTAATAAAAACCACTGCATTTGTGGCCAGAAAGTACTCATGGTGAAAGATATGACTAAAATCACTTGCCATACCGCACATGGACCTTTTATGTAAAATATTATGAAATGTGACCAAGAATAAGTATGAATATAAAATTCAGAAGAACAAAAATAAGATGTTTTGTGTTTTTATATCACCAGAGAGAAGCTGTAATTCTCATCTTAATTCAGTAAAACCTATGTACCTATAAAACCTACCTTTAAACACAATTTATTCAGAAGCACCCAAACTTATCCTTTTTGGCGGTTTAAAAGTTATTGTAATCATGATTTTATAAATGGTATGACATCAAAATTTTGATTCGATGACACGGTTAGCAGAGCTAACTGTACCATTGTTGGAAAGCATCATTCTGTTGGGTGTTTTGTTCTGTTTTTCAAAATTTTAAAATTATTGAAAAAATGAAATCCAATGCAATCCCTGTACTTTTACATTTAGCCTACGCTTGTTCTGCATAAAATATAATAATTAGATGAATCAATATTAATTTGTGTCTTCTACTGCTGCCCTTTGTGCTACACAAGCAAATTGATCTCAAATACAGATATCCCACATGAAAGTGTTCTGATAAGAAATCATATTCTCGGCATCAAGAATGCAAGTAAACGCGTTTCTTGTTTTCCCGAGTTTTCTCACTGAGATGGGCTGCATTATACTCACCGGATTATACTGTTGTACTGTAGTTTCTGAAGGAGCCTAGTTAATAGTTTAACTGTCTAACGGAGATATATAAGTTCTCATTTTGATGTCATACTTTTATGCATTCAATAAAATGTATTCAAACATGACCGTGCTCTATTCGAATTTCTCAACCAATCAGAATGCAGCATAGCCAATATAGAACGTTCTCTAATTCTCCATAGATGCACGATCATGCTCTATTCAATCTGCAATTTGCATTGTTTTGAGTGACGTCACATCTCAGCTGCACATCTGGGGCTCTGTCCGGGGATAGCTGTTCTTCAGAATCTTGACAGCATGCGTATTCTTCCTTCATGCCCGTTCCACAGACACGGCTTTTACTAATTTTTATGTTTGAACTCGTTGGACAGAATGTTAGTACAAATGCACTCACCTTCGGTTCGTGCTTTGTACAACATTCTGTCCAACTCGTGCTGAATTTCACCATATTGAATGGCCTATCATTATTTATTCCTAAATAAAAACATCGTTTTTAAAACAATATTTTAGTTTTAAATTCAAGTTTACCATTATTTGAGACTATTATGAATGTATTACACGATCTGAAGATTATGTTTTTTTAATCATTAATGTTTTTTTATTTATTTTAAAAGAATAAATTAAATACACTCTTAAAAATGAATTACTTGAGTATTTCCCAAGTATTTCCCAAGTATAAAAATTACTTAAAGTTAAATACTTAGTTTTACTTCATTTTACTTAGGTTTAACTTGTATTGTCATTTTGAGTTTTTTAATTGCTTAATTATGTAAATGAGTATTACAATTACTACAGTAAGTATTTCAATTTCTCTCCTTGCATTAGTAAATTCACCATAAATGAATTACTTAAAAATTACTTAAAAATTATTCAGTAGTTCAAGATTATTTAAGTAATTTTTGACTTAAAATGAGTAGTACAATTTCTCAATATAAGGAAATCCAAGTAATAATTTTTAAGAGTGTAGAATTGATTGTTGATTGTATCAAGGAGCAAAAGTCTTTTCTGGGTCACCGCGAATGGCATGATTTCCTCGAGTCTCTTCAGTTGCAAGGCAACCATACTGGGACCGATTCGTGTCGTTCCACTACTGCCCTTGGTGGGGGCCCGCTACCATACTGTATGACTCCCGGAGTTTACTAAAGCACGTTAGTGGAGGAACCAACCACAGTCTCACAATCTGTCTCCGACAAGAGCAGTCAGAGAACCAATCCATGCCAAGGGCCGGTAAACGGTTGGACCTTCGGACCGGGTGTCCGTAGTGACAATGATTAACAACTCCGTACCTGGGGCTCGAACGCGGGACCTCCGTATCCCACCGTACGTTCAACCCACATTGTAGTCTCTCTACGCCACGAGGCTATTCTGCTTAGGTGTCAAAACCGCTCAAAAATGTAATAGTTGCTTCAATATCTTGCTTGAATGAACACGAACGTGGTCTAAATAATCCTATTTTCACTTTACTTGTATTTTGTTTTCAAATAACTAATTATAAACAACAACAATATAACGCGCTTGCAAACGTGTAATTGGCTACTTCGTATAATTGTGTTGTCGGAGAAATCAGAAGAATGAGAAAGAATTCCATTTTAACAAGTTGATATCATCCTGCCATAAATCATGAAAACAAAGCATATTTGTGTGTAAAGAATGATTCCGATTTGTTATACAAAAGTTTTCGTCTTGTATTAAGTGCAACTGGAAATTTCAGGTCAAGATCACAGTGACTGGCGAATGAGAAATCAAAATGGAAAATTTAAGACCCGCGAAACCAGAACTTTAACTTGGAAAGTTTATACTGTAAATTGTACGATCTCAGTGAAAAAAAGAATGCATAGAAGAGGTACAAAAGTAAGGTGACTGTATTTGCCATTTCAACCTTTTTATACCAATTACCATGAAATTGTCAGAGAATATGTATTATCCGTTTATACATTATGACCCAAATGTTCAATACCTAATTCTAACTAATAAGCGTTATTTGTGGTATTTATAACGTGAACCCATCATACTCGGAGCAGGTGATTAATTACGAGGGGTATACAAAAATTAATATTTTTCTCAAGTATATCTTTCTGTTACGTTACAAAAATGTACAATTAATATACACATACATCACACTAGTCGTTTTATTGAATAAACTTTTATGGAACAATATGCGTGCTTGACAAATTCAATTTATCATAAATCCATGAAATCAGAAGCACTTCTATCTGGAAAGTTTTGTAAAAATAGGACAAACCTCATTGAAAACATGATGAAACGTTTACATACATGTAAGCGGCCTACGCCACTGTTTTAGGAAACTCTTATTTAAAAAAAACGTAAAATTGGATGACGGTTCATATAACTACTTACAATTTATCAGACCAATGCTCACCGGGGTCAATAGCTCTTGTGGTATTTAATATACCAACGAAATGACAGTAAAACTGAAGTTAACTCTGTCAAAAATTAAATGTCCAACACTTAATTCCATATTTGGTCATGCATTGACTCCAATATAGTCAGAGACTCAAAATGTGAACACATGTCAAGGTCACTGTTTACTACTTAAGGTGGGACCTGATATATCGATAAAATTACAGTAAAGCCTAAGTAAGTAAATACACTTCTTCTTAAATTTACAATGCCCAACACTTAATTCCATTTTTAGAGATGTATGGACTCCCACTATAGTCAGAACTTTGACATGCGAATACTTCTCAATATGAACACTTTTACCCACCCCAATCCAATTCAGATTAAATAGGGGGAGCCTGGTATCCGAACATTTTAAAGTCATTTCCATATTTTAGGTACAGTTTGTGAAAATCCTTCAACATAATACTGTGGTATCCCTCCGTTAATTTAGACCTAGATTTAACTTTTGAGACACCAGTTTTCGTCTGTCCAAAATGTACTTTGTCCCTCCAGCCTATTTTCTCAAGGATGTAGTTTGAATCTTCAAGTAACGTTTCATATTTCAGGACGTATTGATATTTAACGTGACAGGGATGACACAATTGCTGAACCGATCTCCAGTGTTCATCCAACCAATCATGATGGAAATCCCGATCGAGGAGATATCTTACGAATTCATTAAAAGTGACATCACAAGAGCGTTCATAATTCCCTACAGTGCTGTCGTTATCAGTATTGTTGTCTTTGAGGTTATCATAGTAACTAGGAATTTTGCTCAACTCGTTATTTCTGTATTTCTTAATTATATTCTTCCCGTAGGTATCACAATACCAATCTCGTCCAGCAACGTGAGGATGCTCCTGAAATTTATTCCTCCAGGCGGACAATATACGCTCATAGGGATCACGTACGATTAAAAACGTGGTATACGTTCCGAATATCTCCTTTAGTTTGTCTTGTGGTACGAACGCGGGCGTTTTGAGAATTATGTTGAGGTACGTCTCTAGTTTGAAATAGTAATCGTTCACCTCTTGCCATGTCTTGTTCAAATGCACCTTCAGCATTAACTTCCTCCAGCTCGTTGACGCCACCTTTGGCACCATGCAATAGACAAATTTATTTTCTTCATCGATGTATATTTTGTCCGATTTTTTGTACATTACTTCATTAAATGTGAGATCTAATGTGCTCGGGTCTCTGTATGTGATATCGCAGATTTTAGAGAGCGTCATACGGCGGTTTTTGAATCTTTTCTCGATGTTTTTCACTTCGTTGCTGTTTGTTGTCTTGGTGAAATAGTCCCGAAGGTAAGCTCCTTTGTTCGTTCTGTATGGGTCAAAGGGCTGAAATTAAAGAAAACATGCAATCAGGACAATTATGTACGAGGCAATAACATGCAAAATGTCACCACCTGCAATTTCTTACAACAAGGTACCGCCGGGCGCCGAATGCTGTCACAAAAAGTTAGATAAAAATTGTTTTGTTGACATAAAAAATGGGCTCTTCTTTATAAGAGCATATGAAGTGTAACTAACAATGAGTCAGATCAGGTGAAACACTCCCATCAGTAAATTTTACAGAAATATATACATTCAGACATTTTATGATGAAAATAAAAACAATGAATCATTTTATTTTATTTTCATGTCACCAGTAGAAGTGATGACATGTTGTTATAGTCTCAAATTTTTGTGGACGGTGTTCTGTGGTTGGTATTCGGCGGTTGGTGCTCGGCTGTCGGCGTCTGTAACAAATGGTCAGGTGGTGACATTTTGCATGTTAATGCCTTGTTCTCTAGGCTACGTCCCTGGAGCATGTCAGTATGAGCCAATACACCTAATCTCCTTTGCTTCGATGAAAAAACTAGGATTTATTGACAACGTTCACGTTTAAAAGCAATAAGTTAATCCAGTTTTTTTGGAAATATTGCATCACATTAAGTAGGCTTTGATTAATTGAATATAGGACAATTGATTTTCAATTACTTTTTCCAATATACACTTCAATTTTCCTCCATCTAATTCAATTAATCATTTGTGCGTTGTAAATCATTCTGATACTCAGACCATCTCTACAATGCACAAGAGAAGGAAACCGAGAGAAGGCTGTGATATCTCACGATGGTTGTAAATATGTATGTACGAGTATTTTAGCCTTACCTTGAACAGCACGAAGACAAGAGTATTAATGGTAACCATGACAACGAGTAATGGCCACACTGATCGCACCCTGCAGGGCCTTGTCAGGAGTAAATATAGTATTTTTCCAATCATATTTTATAGTCGAATTTATTAGAAACTCATTTAAATTATACTATATCCCATGTTGTTATAATAAAGCGTTTCAATTTATTTTTATTACAACCGCGTTAATAGTAAATCCATATTGTTATAGAAATACCTTCTAATGTATCTAATGTCTGAGTTTAATCCCTGTATTCATTTAGTCGCAGTTGAATTGTTAAGTTGACAATTAGATATTTTAATGAGGAACGTATTTTATTCTATTTTGTCTTTATCTATGTCTTACGAGGAGTAGTCTAAGCATTTTCCATGTGAGTTCAGTCATCTGCGGAGATACAGTGGCGGAGTTAGTTCTTGTTCGTTAGAGTGCATTACCTGCACAGAATGTGATCCTTGGATGTTCATCAATGCACACAATACACACTATGCATTCATTATATCATCCTTTTTAATGCGCACGGTGCATTTCTTGGGTGCTCCTTATTAATGCACACAACGCATTCCTTGATGCTCTTTATCAATACACTTAATGCATTCCTTTGGCGTTCCTTATTAATACACATAATCTATTTCTTGGGTCCTTATCAATGTACACCATGCGATCCTCGAATTCTCCTTATTAATGCACCTAATGCATGCATTCCTTGGGTCTTTATAATACTCAAAATGTATCCCTTATGTCATGCTTAATAATGCACACAACGCAGTCCTTGGGTATTCTGGGTATTCCTTACTAATACACACAATGCCTACAACTACAGGGTGTTCCAAAAGTAACAGGACTTTTGCTGGCATTTTGTTAAATATGCACCAATCGTCTTCAAAATTGTACAGAATGTACTTTCATGTATCGTTACTAAAACTGCAAAGTTTCAACAAAATATATGAAACTCGGGTAGAGTTATAGTTGCTATAGTAACATGACATCGCAATACCCGGGGCAACATTCCACACAGAGAGTTAGAGAGACTTTAAGCATTTTGTACATATCATATCAAAGTTGAAATGCAACAACTGGTGGGAATAACATTTGTTTTACATCATTTGATATTCCTATGTATCCTCTACTTTAAAAAAAATAGGCTCGTCTTGGTCGGTACAAGAGTAGTACTCTGTATCCATGACCCAAACACATGAGTGACCCATTTGAGGACATGTCACCCAGGGTCGATTGGACAATTTGGAGAAGGTCATTCTCATCTTTAAAGGTCTTACAGCACTGATTAGCACTCCGTTCTCAATATAAGTAAGAATTGGATATTGTATGATCAGAAGAGTATGGTGCATGGTCTTAGACCTCAAGACCTAACTCCTCTTATAGCTGCATGGTCTTTAATGGTGGCCTGCGGTCAGGCGCGTTATCAAGGTGGATGACTGGCTCCTAATTGGGTCTTTTCAAAAACTCAACCGTGAATTGTTCAGACTGTTATACATAGTGATATTCCAGGAAATTGAATAAATATTATTATGAAATTATACTTGAATCTGAGTTGTATAGCATCACCTTTACAACAAAGCAACTAATAAAATAAATAAGAAATGTTGTATTGTAATAGGTGAATTAGATACTTTCTTCAATAATACAAAAATGTTAGATATCACATTTTCATGAAAAAGTTGCCCCGGGTATTGTGATGTCACGTTACTATAGTAACCATAACTCTATCCACATTTCATAATTTTTTCTGAGACTTTACAATTTTAGTTGCAATACCACAAAGTACAATTTGTAAAAATTTGAAGACACTCGATGCAAAATTGACAAAATGCCAGCACCAGTCCTGTTACTTTTGGAACACCCTGTATATTGATAAGGATGATATCAACGTGTTAACAGTTGTGAAAAAACAAAGTTAATTTCACTATGATTTAATCCCCACTCCCCTCGTACAAAAAATTGCCGTTTAGCTTGATTTTCAAAAAATCAACGTTCACTAAATGAAATCACCATTGACCCATTTCTCCCATACTGATACTATAGAAGAAATGAGATGTCATGGTTTATCATCATGATGCCTTGCCCCATAATGAAATTAACTTTGTTTTTCCAGAACTGTTGATGCCGGACACCATCCCTGTAGTCTATCTACATCTTAAAAGTCAGTGAAATCTCCATTGTGCATCTGTTTATTTTAGCTTACTCATGTATTATTTACATGATGGTGGTACATGGTATTGGCTGATTAAGGTGAAGTCGTGCTTGTGATGCCATGTCGACTCAATCCAATTGTCTCCCGTAGGAGACGACTCCCACCTCTATACTGCCCACACCCTGCTATTGACCTAGCCTTGACCCGTCTCCTTGTTATGGCGCCTCTTCTACCCCCACCCCACTCCCATTTTCTTTCTTGCATTTTATTTTCCTTCATACCCCCTACTTATTACCCGATTCACCTCCTTGTTAGCTTTTACCTTTCTCCTTTTTTACATTTCCTGAATGAAGCTGTTTCCCATATAGTCCACTCACGTCACTCACTCATACATGTACATGATCTTTATGTACATGCTCTTTATGTACAGCCACTGTCCACACCAACCTGCGTAGTACATAAGGAAGGTGAATTATATTATTGAAAGGGCTGTCATTAAGAGGCAATATATAACACTTACACCCTTTGCAATGTGTCAATGTCAAGCCAGAGGGGTTAAATCGATCGATAATATGTTTGAGTAGCTTTTTCAATAGTTTGATTCTCTTAAAAAATATATCTGATGCAGAAATATCCAAAGTCACTTGAATTGATAAAGATGTCAACTTTTTTTCCAGTGAAATTACTGAACTGCCATAGTTCATTGAAACTGAATAAATGTTATTAGTGAACTCCCATAGCACAGTTTAGTCCACTGAAAATAGTGAATACATTTAAATGTCTAAACTCACACTGTGTCGAAACACATTTTAGTCTATTGGAAATACTAAATACCTTTAAATTAATAACTCCTGTAAGAACTGGTGCCTTTATACGTCTACTGTATAGTTTTAGTACAAAGTACATAACTACCTAATGGAAATAAGCAAAAAATTATAATAAATAGACTTTACGTATAATAAACCATAACATAGCATTAACATGCAAAATGTCACCACCTACCATTTGTTACAGATACCGAATGCCAACTGTCAAATGCGACTGCCATCCTCAAAAAAAGTTGGAGACTTTAACAATATTTTCTACTTCAGGTGGTGACAAGGCATTAACATGCAAAATGTCACCACCTCCCATTTGTTACAGATACCGAATGTCAACTGTCAAATGCTGACTGCCATCCACAAAAAAGTTGGAGACTATAACAATATGTCACCACTTCAGGTGGTAACAAGGCATTAACATGCAAAATGTCACCACATGTCATTTGTTACAGATGCCAACCACTGAACGCACTATCCAAGAAACATTGGAGACTTTAACAATATGCCACCACTTCTGGTGGTGACATAATAAAAATAAAAACAGAAGAATAGTCTATGATATCAGCCAGTTTATTATTAGTTTCTTTACTAACAACATGTGGCAGACAGAACACAAAAGGTTGTGTAATTATTTATTCTTGAGCAGTTGCCTTGGCAACATAGCAATGATCAACAACAACAACAATGGAACACAAAGTTACCAACGATTCTGCAGCACAAAAAATAAATCTCAGGCAAAAATAATTATTCTGCAGCACAAATTTATATTCTGTAGCCCAAATAACATCATAGAAGTCATACCATATATATATCTAATCTTGAAATTAAGAAATTCATAACTGTTATCATGGTTACAATGAACAATAGACTTAAGGAGTTCATTACTTAAGGAATATTTCACTGATGCAAAGATGAAAGTAAAAGTTATGAAAGAGGTAGAAATTCTCAATAGACCTGGTAATCAGGTAATAGATGCTTAGTCAAAAAAATGAATTGTTTATTTAAACTGGCATGACTTCAAGAGATTATTAAATGCTATTAAATTACTAAATGTACAGTAATATGACCTTTGTAACCCTGTATTATATCCCCTTAGGTTATAGCCCATTGCTTCAGCCATGATACTGCAAACTAATACCAAATAGAGAGTCTTCGCACAATGATTTTAGCTCATGTATCTAAAATCTGTAACGCATTCACCAGATTTATGCGTAGCAGTTCAATTAAAACGAGATGCGGTTGCGAATACATTTTAGCTATAACCCATTGTGCGAAGTATTTCTATTGATACCGGGATTTCACACTACTCTGAATTTCTGTACCACCCTGCATAAAAGGCGGGAATCTCCCCAGTATAAGAGCAATCGGGCGCTGAATTCTGTTGTGAATCTGAAAATTACACTCCACTCTGTTCAAACTATGTTAACACTCTGTCGAAATGATGAAATGTTGAGATATTGTGACCAAAGCATGTGAAAGTAGAATTTAGCACCATGTTGGAAAGAAACATGGGGAGATTACTGATCATAGTATTATGAGGGCTTAGGTCCCTTGGATCCCTTTGATCCTTTGGATCCCTAACTGTGCATATTGAGGATTAAACTCTTTCTAGCCTTGTGATCAGTTCTTTATGTGATTTAATGAAAGTAGATTTTAATGGCCTTGGCTTGAAATTACTTTCAATCAATGGCCCACTGGGCTGCAGAATAAATTTGGATGTATTTGCCACTCTTCACATTTTTTGAGGTTTTGGGCTCAAATAAGGAAATGAAATTTGCATTTATCCATTTATATTTCCCTGAATAAATGACTCTAAGTTTACAAAATTATGAACATTTTTGACTGTTTACGATGCAATAGAAATCTGTGACTACAACTACCACCAACCAACCAATGTACACTCCCCTCAAAAAGTTTGGCAACCAAAAGTTCTCCTTTTAAGTTAACGTATTAAAGCTTGTTTATGTTTGATGATTTTAACACATTCATCAAATTTATATTTTCCAATCTATTTCAATCAAAGAGCAAAACATGCTATAATATGTAGATTCCCAGTTGCCAAACTTATAGAGGGAGTGTAGATTAATTTAAAAACACAGAATTCAATTCAACTTTGGGTTCCATTGTTATAACACCATCTCATTCAACTTTCAGCTGAATTTAAATATTTCAATACAATTATTTCATTATTGTTGGACAGAATTTCAAAAATAACCAAGTCAAACTGAACCCTTCAGAGTTTAAATTTCACCTGAAAGTTGATACTTTGACTACCTCTCCACCCTTTTATCACAACACTGAACTCTTCCATGTAACCAAATTGAATGGATCAGTTCATTACAAAAGGGGGGAAAGGTTGGAATTTAAGCATTCTACATACAATTGATGTTTTCCCCTACCTAAAAAGCTATTATTACATAATACCAGTCCTTTTGAATATTTTACAAGCGTAATAC